GATCAGCCTTGGGAGACAGACAAGGAGTCCAAAGTGCTGGAGGCTTTATTGCAGAGGAAAACCACCTTCTTTGCCCAAGAAAACCCTTTGCAATTCAGGGGGAACATCATCAATCTACAGCAGGGGTCCACAAACTTTTTAAACAGAGGGCCAGATCACAGTCCCTCAAACTGTTGGAGGGCCGAATTATAATTTGGAAAAAAAAAATGAATGCATTTCTATGCACACTGCACATATCTTATTTGTAGTGTAAAAAACACTTAAAAACAATACAATAATTAAAATGAGGAACAATGTTAACAAATATAAACTTATTAGTATTTCAATGGGAATGTGCGCCTGCTTTTGGCTGATGAGATAAGATTGTTGTTATGTGCTTTCAAGTCGTTTCAGACTTAGGTTGACCCTGAGCGAGGGCCGGGTAAATGACCTTGGAGGGCCGCATCCATCGCCCGGGCCTTAGTTTGAGGACCCTTGATCTACAGGAAAGTTTAGCAGCACATGTTTGATTAAAAAAAAAACAGAGAAAAAGCTTGGAGATTGAAATGACCATATAAAAGCCATTAAAAAAAACATTTAATACAGTATAAGAACGATGGAGATGTTAACAAAAATCCAGGAATAATAAATAAAATATAAATAAATATAAAAAATGTAATGTTCGTTTGTGGGATTAACAACTCAAAAACCACTGGACGAATTGCTGCCAAATTTGGCCACAAGACACCTAATACAACAAGGAGTGACCATCACTAAAAACATTGATTTTGTAATTTGGGAGTTGTAGTTGCTGGGATTTATAGTTTACTTACAATCAAAGAGCATTCTAGGTTCTTGTGGGTTTTTTCGGGCTATAGGGCCATGTTCCAGAGGCATTTCTCCGGACGTTTCGCCTGCATCTATGGCAAGCATCCTCAGAGGTAGTGAGGTCTGTTGGAACTAGGGAAATGGGTTTATATATCTGTGGAATGGCTGGGGTTGGGCAAAGAGCTCTTCTCTGCTGGAGCTAGGTGTGAATGTTTCAACTGACCACCTTCATTAGCATTTGAAGGCCTGGCTGAGCCTGGGAAAATCAAATGCTAATGAAGGTGGTCTAGAACATGGCCCTATAGCCCGAAAAAACCCACAAGAACCTAGTGATTCCAGCCATGAAAGCCTTCAACAATACAAAGAGCATTCTGAACCCCACCAACAATGGAATTGAACCAAATGTAACACACAGAACTCCCATGACCAACAGAAAACACTAGGGCATTGACCTTCAGTTTGGGAGTTGTAGTTCACCTATATCCAGAGAGCACTGTGGACTCAAACAATGATGGATCTGGACCAAACTTGGCACAAATATTCCATATGCCCAAATGTTAACACAGATGGAGTTTGGAGGAAATAGACCTTGACATTTGGGAGTTGTAGTTACTGGGATTTATTGTTCAATCAAAGAGCGTTCTGAACCCCACGAACGACAGAATTGGGGCCAACTTCCAACACATATTTATTTACTTTATTTATATACCACTTTTCTCAGCCCTCAGGCGACTCAAAGCGGTGATAACCCCCATGAGCAACAGAAAATAAGGCCATCCAGTCCAACTCCCTTCACCCAGGGCAAGTAAACGTAATCAAAGCCCTCCTGACAAAGGGCCATTCAGCCATAGACATAGACAGATATATATGATTCACACACAAAGAGATATAGTATCATAGATTTGAAAGAGACCCCTAAAGAAGGACAATTCTATGTTGCATGTTCCAGAGTAGGCCAACCAGACAATCTCCCCATCAACACTGACAAAGAAACAGCAAGAAATACTGTCTACCCACAAGCAGAAAGACATTACAATAATGAGAAATCACACTTTCTCATTATTTTCCAGATCACTAGACTGGGCCACAGCAACGCATGGCAGGGGACGGCTAGTTTATTTATTTATTTATTTACTTTGCTTGTATACCGCTGTTCTCAGCCCGAAGGCGACTCACAGCGGTTCACAAGACACAGGACACAGCAGAATTCAAACACCAATATAAACAATTAATACCCTAATCTAATACACAATTAATACACAATTACTATTATAACCATTCACTGGCATCTCGTCACTAAAAACATGATCCAGATTAGTCATCCATTGTTCCATTCCTATGTCATTACCAGTCTTGCACTAATTATTCGAACGCCTGCACAAATAACCAGGTCTTTACTTTTTTGCGGAAGACCATTAGAGATGGTGCTAGTCTAATATCTGTGGGAAGGGCGTTCCACAGCCGGGGGGCCACCACCGAGAAGGCCCTGGAATAAATATGTTAATTTAAACAACACTCCTTGTTAGCACTTCTTCTTATGGGTAAGATGGAAAAAATTGCTTTATTAAAACAATGTCAGAGGAAACTCTTCCCCTTTGGGAAAAGCAATTCCTCCTAGCTTTAAAAACCAAAGTGTTTCCCAGGCTCTGCTCTTCCAGGCAGAGGCTTCTGGGAGTTGAAGTCCAAAGCCTGGAACACCAATGGCTGCTTGAATGCAAACCGTCGAGATCTGGAACTACAGGTGGCTAGAGAGGACTTTTTGGAGTGTTGTGTTTTGGCCGGATGTGGGCCGTGTCCTCCTCTTCCTGGTTGGGGCTTCTCCTCCAAAAGAGGCTTCTTGGGGAACTCCTGCCTTTGGCTTTTCTGTCTTGGAGGATTTTGGAGGAAAAGCAGGAATTGTTGGATTTAGATGGAAGGAAATGGAGGAATGAAGGTGAGTGAAGACAGAGGGAGGGAAGGAGAGGAAGGGAAATTGGGAGCAGGATGGGGGAGAGCAGGAGGGTTGCAACTGGAGTGTTCTGGGATGCATCTCCACTGGGGAAGAAATGCAGTCCACACCCCTGACACTGCCCTGCCTCCATGCTGGGTTGTCCTGGGAATTGCAGTTTCACAAGGTCTTTTCCCTTCTCTGTCAATGAGTGCTGGCACCTCACCAAACTACAGCTGCCCTGATCCTAATAAATAATAAAACTTTATTTATACCCCGCCCCCATCTCCCCAAGGGGACTCGGGGCGGCTTACATAAGGCCAAGCCCAGCAATACAGTAAAGCAATATATAACAAAGGTAGGTAAAGGTAGTCCCCTGACATTAAGTCCAGTCATGTCTGACTCTGGGGTGTGGTGCTCATCTCCATTTCTAAGCCGAAGAGCCGGCGTTGTCCGTAGACACCCCCAAGGTCATGTGGCCGGCATGACTGCATGGAGCGCCCTTACCTTCCCGCCAGATCTACTCACATTTGCATGTTTTCGAACTGCTAGGTTGGCAGAAGCTAGGGCTGACAGCGGAAGCTCACGCCGCTCCCCGGAATCGAACCTGCGACCTTTCAATCAACAAGCTCAGCAGCTCAGTGATTTAGCCCACTGCGCCACCAGGGGCTCCATATAACAAAACTTTATTTTATTTATATTTACTTTATTCATATTTACTTTATTTTATTTATATTTTACTGCTGTGTTTTGTTATATAACAAAACACAGCAGTAAAATATAAATAAAATAAAGTACAAGAACCAGTATAAATAACACATCAGCAATATAGAATCACAACATTTAAAACACAAAAATTAATCACAGTTGGCAGGGCCGGTTTCAACAAATTAAAAATTTAAAAACACTGGGTGAGAGACCAATGTAATGTATCTGGACAGGGAATCCGAAGGACAAAGTAGGGTCGATTGCACTAGAACAGGGGTCCTCAAACTAAGGCCCGGGGGCCGAATACGGCCCTCCAAGGTCATTTACCCGGCCCTCTCTCAGCGTCAACCTAATCTGAAACAACTTAAAAACAGGCAACAACAGCAATGCTATCTCATCAGCCAAAAGCAGGCCCACACTTCCCATTGAAATACTAATACGCTTATATTTGTTAAAATTATTCTTCATTTTAGTTATTGTATTGTTTTTAAGTGTTCTTTGCACTACAACTAAGATATGTGCAGTGTGCATAGGAATTCATTCATGGTTTTTTCAATTTATAATCCGGCCCTCCAACAGTTTGAGGGACTGTGACCGGGCCCTCTGTTTAAAAAGTTTGAGGACCCCTGCACTAGAAGGTAAAAATAAAGTGCTTCTGAGGGCATTTTTGCAGTGTTTGGTCAAGTCATGGGATTATTATTCATTCATTGAAGGCACACTGGAACAGCCAAGTTTTCAAGCTCTTCCTGAAGATTGCCAGGGTGGGGGCTTGCCTTATATCTCTGGGGTGTGAGTTCCAGAGCCCAGGGGCCACCACAGAGAAGGCCCTCCTATAGCATTAAGTCCTAGCAGTTAAAAGGGCACCAAACTGCATTCATTCACCAGCGTGGATGCATCCTCAATTATTGTGGCCAATTTAACTCCATTTTGCTTTCTGCATGTTTTTAGTTTGCTTGCTTTTTAAAGTTGTGATCTGCTATGGCTCCCAATTATGGGAGGAAAAGAGATAATAAATGCATTCGTATGAACATGGCACACGCCTTCTTCTTTTTAAAATTAATTTTTATTAAACAAAAAAAAACTCCAGTATAGTATTAAAATTAAAATGACAAAAAAGAAAAGTATGAAAAAAGAAAGTAGGGAGAAGAAAAAGGGGGGCGGGGGAAGAAGAAGAGGGAAAAAGGGGGAAAAAGAAGGATGTTTGACTTCCATCTTATCCTTTGTGTTCATATGTCTTCTTTAAGGGGCAAAAAACATATGAAAGAACATCACAATATTTAAAATGAAGAACAATTTTATCCAACATAAACATAACAGTATTTCAATGGGAAATGTGAGCCTTCTTTTGCCTGATAGTCAAGTGAATAAGGGTTGTTGTTATTGTTGTTGTGTCTTCAAGTCATTTCAGACTTAGGGCAACCCCGAGACTAGATACTGTTTTTACCTTTTCATTGTTTCTTGTTCAGTGGCCAGTTCCATTCTACTCGTGCATATTTGATTTCGTAACTCTTCCCCTTTAAAATACGAATGTTGTGTAATCTTCTTTTTATTCTTCTAGTTTTCTAGACAAAAAGCCTAGACTGCTATGGTAGAGTCTAGCATTTCCCACAGTTTCAGGCTATTATCTAAGGATGAAAATGGAGACCCGAGAAGACCTTCCAAGTCATATACCAGGCCAGGTGTCACGAGAAGTGAGGGGGAGCTGCCACGTTGGGATTGCAGAGGCAGCCTTGCAAAGGAGACCAATGGATATGAAGCAGGAGTTCAACAAAGACTCTCTTCACCAGTGGGAAACCCAATGGCAGGACTCCCCGAAGAGCATAGAAGGCCCTCACCCAAACTGGGGGACCTCTCAGTTGAGGGAGGAACCATGGGACGATGCCAAAGCCTTCCTGGCCTCCTTTGAGCAAGTGGCCCAAGCCTGCCGGTGGCCCAAGGAAGAGTGGGTGCCCCGGCTCCTGCCAGCATTGAGCGGAGAGGCCAAGCAGGCCTTCACCGGCCTGGAGGCCGAAGGCAGAGAGGATTATGGGAAAGTGAAGGCCTCCATCTTACACGGGGATGCCATGAGGCAGGAGGAGCTGCGGCAGTGTTTCCGGCGTTTCCATTACCAGGAGTCCGAGGGGCCGAGAGGGGCTTACGGCCAGCTTCAGGCACTGTGTTGCCGGTGGCTGAAAGCTGAAAAGCATTCGAAAGAGCAGATCCTGGAGCTGCTGATCTTGGAGCAGTTCTTGGCTGTCCTGCCTCCAGAGATGGAGGCCTGGGTCAAGGAATGTGGTCCAGAGACTTGCTCCCAGGCAGTGGCCTTGGCGGAAGACTTCCTCCAGAAGCAGGGAGAGGCCAGGAGGCAGGCAAACCAGGTGAGGACCATTCATTGGGTTCCAGGTTTCCCTAAGGCAGTGGTTCTCAACGTTCCTAATGTCGCGACCCCTTAATACAGTTCCTCATGTTGTGGTGACCCCCAGCCATTCAATTATTTTTGTTGCTACTTCATAATTGTAATTTTGCTACTCTTCTGAATCGTTATGTAAATATCTGATATGCAGGATGTATTCTCATTCACTGGACCAAATTTGGCACAAATACCCAATATGCCCAAATTTGAATACTGGTGGGGTTGGGATGGGAGGATTGGTTGGAGGATGGGGTTTGGTGGGCGTTGACCTTGAGTTTGGGAGTTGTAGTTCAGCTACATCCAGAGAGAGCACTGTGGGCTCAAACAATGATGGTTCTGTACCAAACTTGGCACAAATACTCAATATGCCCAAATATGTACACTGGTGAAGTTTGGGGGAAATAGACCTTGACATTTGGAAGTTGTAGTTGCTGGAATTTATAGTTCACATACATTCAAAGAGCATTCTGAACTACACCAACAATGGACGTGAACCAAACTTGGCACACAGAACTCCCATGACCAACAGAAAATACTGGAAGGGTTTGGTGGGCATTGACCTTGAGTTTGAGATGTAGTTCACCTACATCCAGAGAGCACTGTGTACTCAAACAATGATGGATCTGGACCAAACTTGGCACAAATATTAATATGCCCAATGTGAACACTGGTGGAGTTTGGGGAAAATAGACCTTGACATTTGGGAGTTGTAGTTGCTGGGATTTATAGTTCACATACAATCAAAGAGCATTCTGAACCCCACCAACAATAGAATTGGGCCAAACTTCCCACACAGAACCCCCATGACCAACAGAAAATACTGTCTTTTCTGATGGTCTTTGGCGACCCCTCAGACATCCCCTCGCGACCCCTTCAGGGGTCCCGACCCCCAGGTTGAGAACCACTGCCCTAAGGGCTGTTTTGTGCAAGGTGCCACAGATCATCTTCATTTATCAAGCCAGGGCGGCAGTGTATTTAGGTCTGGAGTAAGTAAAATGTTTCCTTTAAGGGGCTATCTTTGAGCCTTCTAAGGTCCCCAACATGCCCTCTGCCCCAATAGTTCACCCTCAGTTTACAGAAGGAGAAATAATAATAATAAACTTTATTTATAACCCGCTTCCATCTCCCCAAAGGGGGCTCGAGGCGGCTAACATGAGGCCGAGCCCAAAAACAATAGAACAAAATTAGACAGAAAACAAAAGAAACCTTACATCACAACAGAATAGAGATAGAGGCCTGGGCCAAGGAATGTGGTCCAGAGACTTGCTCCCAGGCAGTGGCCTTGGCGGAGGATTTCCTCCAGAAGCAGGAAGATGCCAGGAGGCAGGGAAACCAGGTGAGAACCATTCATTGTCTCAATCCTGTGTAGCTCACACTGTCTTGATCCTGTGGCTCAGGCCCTTTCCACACAATAATCCCACATTTTCTTCTTTCAACCGGAATATATGTCAGTGTAGAGTCAGAAAACCCAGTACAAAGCAGATATTGTGGGATTTTATGCCTTGATATGGCTTTGATATGGGTTATATGGCTTTGTGGAAGGGCCCTCATTATGGGCTAGGATTTGAACCAGTTGAAAATTTTCCTTCTGGCAACTCTAATGTCTTGTGGCCAGGGAGCAAGGAAACCAGATGAGGACCGTTCATTGGGTTCTAAGCTTCTCAAAGGGCTGCTTTGCGCAAGGTGCCATCAGATCTTCCCAGTTTATCAAGCCAGGGTGGCAGTGTGTTTAGGTCTGGAGTAAGCAAAATCTAGCCTGTACGGGGCTGTCTTTGAGCCTTCTTAGATCTCCCGGCATCCTCTCTGCCCCAATAGTTAACTCTTGGTTTGCTTTGTGATTTTGAAAAGCGTTCTTTTGTCCCTAAAACAGCCATGGAAGGAGAAAAACATGGCAAAATTACCCCACAATCTCGTAGATGGAGATGAAGGGTATCGAGTTTTTAATTTAAGAAAAGGTTGAAATACAGTGGGGTTGAGGAGCGCTCGGCAAAGGGCAGATGCAATCCCCATCAAATGCTCAGGCAGTAGGTTTAATGTGGGATTGTGACTTGCAAGATCTGGGTTCAACTCCCTTTTGGACCATGATATGCATTGTGTGACCATGGCTTAGTTATTTTTTCTGGTTGTGACCTACCTCACAAATACTTTGAGGGCTGTGTAGAGCAGAGCAAAGCCATATACGTGAGATATACATTTGGGTAACAAGTGATACATATTTTAGGTGCCGTTAGAGGAAGAGGAGATGGTGGGTTCCCCTGAAGCTGTCCTCACAAATGTTTTGAAGACTCTGTAGAGTCGAGGAAAGCCATATATGTGAGATACACACTTGGGTAACAGGTAATAAATATTTTAGGTGCTGTTAGAGGAAGAGGAGGCGGTGGGTTCCCCTGAAGCTGTCCAAGCCCTGCCTGAGATGGAGAAGAAGAAGAAGCTTAGTGTGGAGACCAAAGAGGAAGATGACGACAGGGATGCTGGATCCTTGGGTAAGAAGAGTGGGCTGTTTGTGGCCTTAGATGTTGGGACATACCTTCCTTGACTAACCACAGCACTTGGCTGCATCTCCCCTGAATAGGATCTTCCTTTCTTCCTTTGGATAATCTAAGCCCAAGGGTCTGCCAGGTAAATGGGGCTCCCTGCTTTGCAAGAGGTGATTGGAATTTGTAGTATCTGGAAAGCCAAAGTTTCCCCTTTCTTGGGATAAGTTAAGGGACTACATAAGCAGAGCCTTGGCCTGGAAATCCTCATCATCGCTGGTCAATCCTCCCCTGGATTATTGTATCCAGTTCTGCCCATCAAAGTTCAAGAACATCCAAGGAAAACATACCATAAACTCACACTGGAAGATCTAGCAAATGCCCAGAGAAATAATTTTCCTTTAAGTGTAAGTAAGTGTAATCGGACATATGGATTCTGTTCTTCTGGAAGCCATAAAAAACTTATAATATTGTGGGTCATGCAGGATACTCCACTTTTCCTGAGAAGTTGCGTGGGCACAGTTAGCCACTTAGTTTGTGGCAAAGTCTTGTACTCTTGTGATAATCCATGTTGTGTGTGTGGGTCAATGACTTTTGTTATATCTGATGAAGGAGCTGTATAAGGGAAATAATCTGAATAAATAAACATGAAGCTTCTCGAAACACAGAAACACAAGGAAATGAAAAAAAATTAGAAAAACAGTATACGGTCCAATTTCACTTTCGGATCTTATTTAAGATTCAGAAACATTCTAAAACTATATAATTTTCATTGCTCAGTGAAAAGAAAGAAAGGTACAATTTGGATTACACCAGGGAATAATTTGATTATCAGATTTGTCTTATTCCCCCTAAACCTTTCTGGTGGCATTGTGAGAATTATTTATTTATTTATTTATTTATTTACAGTATTTATATTCCTCCCTTCTCACCTCGCAGGGGACTCAGGGCGGATCACAATGCACATATACATGGCAAACATTCAATGCCATAGACACACAACATATATAGAGAGACACACAGAAGCTATTTAACATACCAGCTTTTTTCATGAGGGTATTCTGGCCACCAGCGGAGCTGTCATTTCACCGTCCATTTGTGACACTGATGAAGTACTTCCTCATTCTTCACATGCTTGCTGGAGATTTTTTATGGCATTGGAAATTAGCTTCATTGCATAAGCAGTACCTAAATTTCCTACTTGACAGATGCAATTGTCTTTCGGGCTGCAAAGGTCGAGCTACACAAATTGGTCAGAAGCTCACTCATGACCTTTTGGTCAGTAGTGATCTTGCATGCATATATATGCTGTGGAGAGGCACCTAAAAACAATTATGTATTTATTTATTTACAGTATTTGTATACTGCTTTTCTCACCCCGAGGGGGACTCAAAGTGGTTTACACATAAGTAATGGCAAAATTCAATGCCAGTACAAACAATTGCAATTATACACTACAATTAGACATAAAACAAGTTTAAAAAGTACATCCACAAGCAATAAAAGAATAATTAAAATAATAAAACAGTCTTGTTCGTTGAATCGCCGTTCCAGTCATTGCTTTCTGCTTTATTTCCAACAGGTGATGAATGGGAAACTGAGAATGAGGGGCAACTAAGTGAGGATTCCTCAGAAAGAACAGAGTGTGAAGCATTGGAGGAGAATGTTTGGAGCCAAGATGGGCCAACGAGCCAAGACGGAAGCCACACAGAAGAGTCGGAAGCCAGGTCCTTCCCATTTCAGGAGGGAGGCTTCCACAGAATCTCAGTCCATCAGAAAAGTGAGAAAGAAAAAAAGGGAATTTCTTTCCCCGTTGTTCATTGGAGAATTCGCCCTGAGGATGAATCAGATTTAATGTTTGCAAAGACCTTCAGTGAGAGTGAAAACATCACTGAATGTGAAATGCTTTATGAAGGGACAAGTTCCAGCATATACCTGAATCAAAGTATTTCTGCAGATGAGAGACAGTGTATGAATCCAGATCTTGGTAAGATGCAGCACCCAAGGACCCAGCAAAGGGAGAAGCTGTTTAAATGTCTGGAGTGTGGGAAGTGCTTTGGTCGGAGTACACACCTTATTTCACACCAGATCATCCACACAGGAGAGAAGCCATACCAGTGCTCCGAATGTGGGAAAAGCTTCATCCAGAGCGCCCACTTGCTGAAGCATCAAAAGATTCACAGAGGGGAGAAACCATACCACTGCCTGGATTGTGACAAAAGTTTTGCCGACAAGCCGAGCCTCATTCAACACCAAAAAGTACACACAGGGGAGAAGCCCTATATATGTACGGAGTGTGGAAAGAGCTTCAGCTACCGAGGAAACCTTAGGGTCCATCAACGGATGCACACAGGGGAGAAGCCGTACACCTGCTCTGAATGTGGCAAGAACTTCCGTGACCAGTCCAGCCTTGTCAGGCATAAGAGAATCCACACCGGAGAGAAACCTTATACGTGTTCAGAGTGTGGGAAGGGCTTCAGTCAAAGTACCAACCTGACTTTACATCAGAGAATCCATGCCGAGAGAAGCAGTCACACCAAACTCAACATTTGCTGAATGCTGGTGTGGCTGTCTTAGTGTTTTCTCCCAATTCAACAAACAGTCTGATGGCATCTTAAAAATAAATACCCTTTAACAGGCATCCATAACATTTTTAAACAGAGGGCTGGGTTCACGGTCCCTCAGACTGTTGGGAGACAGACCTATATTTTGAAAATCTTACGGATACTGCATATATCTTATTTGTGGTGGAAAAAAACATGAAAGAACAATATTTAAAATGAAGAACAATTTTCATCAACATAAACTTACCAGTATTTCAATGGGAAGTGTGGACCTGCCTTGGACTGATGAGAAAGTCAAGTTCATTAGGATTGTTGTTTACCTTCAAGTTATTTCAGATTGAGACTAAAGTTTAGGGCAGGGGCTGGGTAACTGACCTCGAAGGGCTGCATCCATCCCCCAGGACTTAGTTTGGGAAACCTTCCTCTATATAGTCATGTATAATTTTAAAAATCCACGATAGCCTTTTGGACTTTTAGTGATAGTTGACGCTGGATTTGCCTTTGGGCTCATGTCTCCAAGAGCAAGTCTGTAATATACCCAAACCAGTGTCACATTTCAAATGAGTTGATTTGTAGTTGTATTGTCAAAGGCTTTCATGGCTGGAATCTCTGGGTTGTTGTAGGTTTTTTTGTGCTATATGGCCATGTTCTAGAGGCATTTTCTCCTGACGTTTCGCCTGCATCTATGGCAAGCATCCACAGAGGTAGTGAGGTAGACCTCACTACCTCTGAGGATGCTTGTCATAGATGCAGGCGAAACATCAGGAGAAAATGCCTCTAGAACATGGCCATATAGCCCGAAAAAACCTACAACAACCCAGTGATTTGTAGTTCTTGTCACTTTTCTGAAGTCTCAGCTTTTCACATCTATACTGAGAAACTGGAGATCCACCTGCTCCCCCCCCCCCCCCCCCCCCCCCCAACGTGTGCAAATGTTCTTTAGTGTGAATGCCTGAGCAGGGATTCAGACCCAAGTTCCTCGCCACATTAACTCCAAAGCTCTTGCTGTAAGTCTAGGGTAAGAAGTGTGTGATCCTCAAAATGTTAAATGCTATAGTATTGGGAGCCTCCAGCTGGGACAAATGTGTTGGGAGTGAATATTTGGGCAGGATTTCAGAAGTGAGACTGAAGGGTCAGGGTTGAAATCTCCACTCAGCTGTGATAACTCTGTGACCTTGGGTAAGTCACTGCCTTGTAGAAGGCAGGGCCAGGAAACTCAAGGGAAATGCCCGGAAACTCAACGATAGATTCACCTTAGGACTGCCAAAAGTCAGAAACAACTTTTCAACCATTTAAAAAAATACTAATATCCTAAAGCACCAGATCCCACCTAACCCTAGAAGCGAAACAGGGTCGGTTCTTGGATGGGAGACTAGCAACACCCCCCAAGTGTCCCAGGCTCTATTTCAGAGGGGGAACTGGCAAAACCACCTCTCAATTACACCTTCCCTAAGAAGACCCCTTGTAATTCATGGGGCCACATAACCCACAAGTGAATTGAAGGCACTCAGTGCATCTTAATACTAAATATCCCAAAGGCAATTGTTCTAATCTTGAAAGCTAAGCAGGGTCAGCCATGGTTTGCAATTGGGTGGGAGACCAACCAGGAGTCCAAAGTGCTGGAGGGTTTCGTGTGGAGGGAAACCACCTTCTTTGCCCAAGAAAACCATTAACTATTCAGGGGGACATCCTCAATCTACAGGCAATTTTAGCAGCACACATTTTATAAAGAACGGACAGAAAGAAAACCTGGATATTGAACTGACAATGTAAAAATCATTTTAAAAACATTTTATACACTACTAGCGAAACCCAGCCATGCTTCGCTGTGGCTCAGTCTGATATGGAATGGATATGAAAGTAAATAAAAGTATAGCAGCAAAGATTCACCTAATAAATAATGAGCCCTCCACAAATAACCTGCTTTTCTTTTATCTCGCCCGAGTTTTTAATTAGTTTTTCTTTTAATCATTACATGTAGCCCATCCATTGTTATTGTGTTTGTGCTTATCATAATTTTATATTGTTATGTATTCACATGTTTTATGTAATTATGATGTTGTTTATTGTTTGCATTTTTGGTTTGCGTTTTCGGTATTACTCTGTTGTAGGACAGGCAACTATCTTCAATAACTTCTTCTTTAAAGGAAAATCCCCTTTTTAACTTCTCCCAGGCTGACTGTAAACTTAAACCTAACTGATGTGGGCACCACTACCGGGTTGAACTGCGTCTCAAGTACCGAGTGGACCTACCAGCAAGGCCTGTAGTCTCTTCAGCTGGAGTTCTTTGATCTTTAGGGCTGTTCTCTCCCAGAAAGTCTTTGGAGACTCTTTTTCTTCTGTTTCTGTTGGAATTTCTGTAACCCTGGAAATTCTTAAAGCTGTGGGGATGCTTCCCTGGAAATTCTTAAAAGTTGAAGCTTTTGTACAGGGGAAGCTTTACACATGTCCTGTACATAGGTAGAGAGTTCCACTGATGAACATCTCTCATCGTCAGGAAGTTCTTCCTCATATTCAGGTGGAATCTCATTTCCTGTAGTTTGAAGCCATTGTTTTGTGTCCTAGTCTCCAGGGCAGCAGAAAACAAGCTTGCTCCCTCCTCCTCGTGACTTCCCCTCACATATTTATACATGGCTATCATGTCTCCTCTCAGCCTTCTCATCTTCAGGCTAAACATGCCCAGCTCCTTTAGCCACTCCTCATAGGGCTTGTTCTCCAGACCCTGGATCATTGTAGTCGCCCTCCTTTGGACACATTCCAGCTTGTCAACATCTCTCTTCAATTGTGGTGCCCGGAATCGGACACAATATTCCAAGTGTGGTCTAACCAAGGCGGAATAGAGGGGTCGCATGACTTCCCTAGAAGTAATTTTACTCTTTATTGATAGTCATAGCAAATGCAAGACCTATTGATCATTGAAGTCGTTTGAACTCGGAACACCATGTTGGTCGGAATGAGTGGTATTCATGGAAGTGGTACGTTTTCACCTTTATGAGGTTCAATCAGAATTGTTGCTTCAATTAGATTGTACATCAATTTTTAAAACTGTCTGCTAAATAAAACTGTTTTGCTCTCCCCAAATCCCTTTGTTTTGGAAAAGGTGGATAGGTTCCCAAGTAACCTTCGAAAGGTTCCCAAATACCAACAAGAAAGGAATTATTTTTCCATGGCCTGAGGGACCATCTGCAAGTTTCAGGTCCTATATATTCCCCCACACTTTTCAGTATGTTTTACTCATTTTATAGTCCTGCTCATAGACCTTACTATAACTAAAGGTTTTTTTTCTCTCCTTTCTCTGCAAAATTATATTTTTATCCTCTCTCATTCTCTCCTTTTCCTTTTTGCTGAAGCCAGGCAGCTGAGATCCTTGTTTTTTGTGTTTTTTTCCATGTTCTTACACTTGGGAGCCTTCAATGGCATAGTGGGTTAAACCGCTGAGCTGCTGAACTTGCTGACCGAAAGGGTGAAGGTTCGAATCCAGGGAGCAGCATGAGCTCCTGCTGTCAGCCCCAGCTTCTGCCAACCTAGCACTTCGAAAACATGCAAATGTGAGTAGATCAACAGTAATGGCACTCCATGCAGTCATGCTGGCCACATGACCTTGGAGGTGTCTATGGACAACGCCGTCTCTTCGGCTTAGAAATGGAGATGAGCACCAACCCTCAGAGTCGGACACGACTGGACTTAATGTCAGGGGAAACCCTCTTATACTTCTCTCCAGGCTGGAAAAACTTTTTAAACATTAAAGATCGTCTGGGGAGTCATGAGTTCGAAGCCAGCCCGGGTTGGAGTGGGTTTCCAACCAATTGTGTGTAGCCTGTTGTCGACCTTTGCAACCCGAAAGACAGTTGCATCTGTCAAGTAGGAAAATTAGGTACCACCTTAAAGTGTGGGGAGGCTAAATTAACTGATTTATGAGGCCATAAAGAAGACTCCAGCAAAGCATTCCAGCAGGGAAGCACGCAGGGAATGCGGAAGTGCTTCATCAGCATCACAGATGGACGATGAAAGCGACAGCTCCCCTGGCGGCCAGAAAAAAAGTTAAGTCTGTATATGTTTGTATGTTAAAAATTGGCATTGAATGTTTGCCATATATGTGTACACTGTAATCCGCCCTGAGTCCCCAGCGGGGTGAGAAGGGCGGAATATAAAAGCTGTAAACAAATACATAAATAAATACTCTCGTTACCGCCTTTGCCACAAGTACGTTTGGCGGGGACGAGAGACAGGGCCTTCTCAGTGGTGGCCCCTTGGCTATGGAACACCCTTCCTAGGGACATTAGATTGGCCCCCTCCCTTTTAACATTCCGGAAAAAAGTCAAAACTGATCAAGCATTTGCAAATGAAGTGTAACAGCCATAGGAAAATGGAACGACTGGATGATGAGACTGGACATGGTTTTAACTAGGAAACGCTAACAATTGGTGTTTGTTATGGTTTTATATTATACGTTACTGTTTTTAAATGCATTTTATGGTGTTGTTGGGCAATTAATGGTTGCCTCTGTAAACCGCCTTGAGTCGCCTGCGGGTAGAGAAGGGCGGTATATAAATACAGTAAATAAATATTTCTGAATACCCTTCAACTGGGGCCTTTTCTCACACACATTTCAATATAATTTTATTTTTTTTACAGAAATCCTTGACATACAAGAATACGATTGCAACTAAAATACGCAAAGCATCCCACTAAAACAGTGTTTCTCAACCTTCCTAATGCCGTGACCCCTTAATGCAATTCCTCATGTTGTGGTGACCCCCAACCATAACATTATTTGCGTTGCTACTTCATAACTGTCATTTTGCAACGGTTATGAATCATCATGTAAATATCTGATATGCAAAATGCATTTTCATTCACTGGACCAAATTTGGCACAAAGACCCAATACGCCCAAATTTAAATACTGGTGGGGTGGGAGTTTGATTTTATCATTTGGGAGTTGTAGTTCCTGGGATTTATAGTTCATCTACAATCCAAGAGCATTCTGAACTCCACCAATGATAGAATTGAACCAAACTTGGCACATAGAACTCCCATGACCAAGGAAAAATACTGGAAATTGATCTTGAGTTTGGGAGTTGTAGTTCACCTACATCCAGAGAACACTATGGACTCGAGCAATGATGGATCTGGATCAAACTTGGCACAAATACTCAATATGGTCAAATGTGAGTTTGGAGAAAACAGACCTTGCCATTTGGGAGTTGTTGAAGTTGTTGGGATTTATAGTTCACCCACGATGAAATAGCGTTCTGAATCCTACTGATAGAATTGGACCAAACTTTCCACACAGAACCCCCATGACCAACAGAAAATACTATGTTTTCTGATGGTCTTTGGTGACCCCTCTGACACCCCCTCGCGACCTCCACAGGGGTCCCGACCCCCAGGTTGAGAAACACTGCACTAAAACATACAGTTAAGGTAGGAACACATAGGAACAATAATTAGATTGGACGTACTGGAGAGAATGAAGCAACTGCTTGAAGGATTCCAAGCCATTTATAATTATCTTGTAATGGCAAAGGGGGGCCCTTGAAAAAAGAGCTGTAGTACCACAGGTGTGCATTTCACAAAAAGAGGCTGGAGGCTATGGGTGCATCCACGCTGTAGAATTAATACTGTTTGACCCCATTTTGGCTCATGGCTATGGAATAATGGGAGCTGTAGTTTTACATGGCCCCTAGCCACCTCTGTCAGAGTTTGTTGCCTCACCAAACTACAAATCCCAAGGCTCCATATCATTGAACCATGCTGTTAAACTGCATTAATTCCACAGTGTAGTTGGACCCTAAGGCATCTTATGTGCACAAGAAGGATACTGTATATACTCATGCATAAGTCAAGTTAATATATAATTCGTTGGCATGTTTTGGAGCCAAAATGATGGATGCCTTTCGACACTCTAAGCAGAGGAGACGGTTCCCTTTGAATAAGAATTAGGGTACAGTACTTACATCAGTGTTTCTCGACCTTCCTAATGCCATGACCCCTTAATATAGTTCCTCATGTTGTGGTGACCCCCAACCATAACATTATTTTCGTTGCTACTTCATAACTGTCATTTTACTACTGCTATGAATCATAATGTAAATATCTGATATGCAGGATGTATTTTCATTTACTGGACCAAATTTGGCACAAATACCAGATACGCCAAAATCTGAATATTGGTAGGGTTGGGGGTGGGGTTGATTTTGTCATTTGGGAGTTGTAGCTGCTGGGATTTATAGTTCACCTACTATTAAAGAGCATTCTGAACTCCACCAATGATAGAATTGAACCAAATTTGGCACACAGAACTCCCATGATCAAGAGAAAATACTGGAAAGGTCTGGTGGACAGTAACCTTGAGTTTGGGAGTTGTAGTTCACCTACATCCAGAGAGCACTGTGGACTCAAACAATGATGGATCTGGACCAAACTTGGCATGACTACTCAATATGCCCAATTTTGAACACTGATGGAGTTTGGGGAAAATAACCTTGACATTTGGGAGTTGTAGTTGCTGGGATTTATAGCTCACCTACAATCAGAGCAGGAGGGTTTTTGTTGGGAGGATCCGCCGTCTGTTTCCAAAAAGGAAGAGAAGGACAAGCAGAGAGATCTTCAGGCTTCTCTACCAAATGGGTTTATTTATTTACTAGCTGTACCCGCCATGCGTTACTGTGGTCAACCTTCCCTCCCCCCTTCCTTCCTTCCTTCCTTCCTTCCTTCCTTCCTCTCTCCTTCCTTGCTTCCCTCCCTCTTTCCTTCCTTCCCTTTCTTTCTTTCTTTCTTTCTTTCTTTCCTTCTCTTCCCTTCCTTCCCCCGCGTTTTCTTTCTCTTCCTCTTTCTTCCTTCTCTACCTATTCTTGGACTGCAACTCCCAGCAGTCCTCCTGATCCATCTACCTACCTATCTCTATCTAATCTATCTATCTGGAGGATTGCTGGGAGTTGCAGTTCAGGAATAGGAAATTGGAAATATGCAGGAATTGGGATGTTCTCAAAGAAATCCAAGGAGAAGAGAGCTTTGAAGCAGTGTTTTTGGCTCATCCTCCTCTCCTCAAGGGCCTAGTCTAGGGGATGCTGAGAGCTGTAGTCCGAAAGAGAGTATGGATATGCTGTTGTGTGTTTTGTTTGCCGGGGGAGTCATTTTTGCACATGCACTGTAGCGTCTTTTTGCTTTTTTGGATTTTTAAGTCCCTTCCGCTATGTTTTTCAGTGCTTTTGAGTGATCGTCATTTGTTGATCTGATAGGTGTCGTGTCCAAATTTGGCATCAATTCGTCCCGTGGTTTTTGAGTTATGTTAATCCCACAAACGAACATTACATTTTTATTTATATAGATTTATTTACGGCATTTATATGCTGCCCTTCTCACCCAAAGGGGACTCACAGTGGCTTACAAGATTAATATAATGTATTATATTAATGGTTCCTAAGACCGTCAGAAATATATTTTTTCTGGTGGCCTTTGCCAACCCCTCTGAAACCTCCCCCTCTTGGGGTCCTGACCCCCAGGTTGAGAAACACTGACTTACACTGACCTGTGGATAGATAAGTCAATCCAGGATATTTGGTCTGATTTTTTGACTAGTATTTCTAGACTTATTCATAAGTATACAGGGTATATTTATTTTTAAGATGTCATTAGACTGTTTGTTGGATTGGGTGAATAGACTAACACAGCCATGCCGGCATCCAGCACATGCTGAGGTCCATGTGACAGCTTTCCCTCGGCGTGGATTCTCTGATGTAAAGTCAGATTGGTACTTTGACTGAAGCTCTTCCCGCACTCTGAACAGGTGTACGGTTTCTCTCCGGTGTGAATTCTTTTATGTCTGATAAGACTTGACTGGTCACGGAAGCTCTTGCCACATTCAGAGCAAGTATACGGCCTCTCCCCTGTGTGCATCCGTTGATGGGCGTTAAGGCTTCCTCGGTGGCTGAAACTCTTCCCACACTCTGTACATTTATAGGGTTTCTCCCCCGTGTGCACTCTTTGGTGTTGAATGAGGCTCGGCTTGTCCGCAAAGCTTTTGCTGCAATCCGGACAGCGGTGTGGTTTCTCTCCTTTGTGGATCTTCTGATGCCGAAGGAAGTTGGTGCTCTTGTTGAAGCTTTTCCCACATTCGGAGCATTGGTACGGCTTCTCTCCCGTGTGGATGATTTGGTGTGATGTGAGGTGGGCGCTCTGGACGAAACTTTTCCCACACTCCAAGCACTGATATGGCTTCTCCCCGGTGTGAATTATCTGATGTGAAGTCAGGTGTGCACTCCGACCAAAGCATTTCCCACACTCCAAACATTTATACAGCTTCTCCCCTTTTTGGACCCTTAGATCCTTCATCTTGCCCAGATCTGAACATGCATGCTGTCTCTCATCTGCAGAAATACTTCGATTCAGGTATAGGTACGAACTCGTCCCTTCATAAAGAGTTTCACATTCAGTGAGGTTTCCTCTCTGACTGAAGTTCTTTGCAAACATTAAATCTGGTTCATCCTCAGGGTGAATTCTCCAGTTGACACTGGGGAAAGCAATCTCCTTCTTTTCTTTTTCTTGTTGGACTGAGATTTCGTTGAAGTCTCCCACCTGAAATGGGAAGGATTTGGCTTCCACCTCTTCCGTGTGATTTCCATCTTTGCTTGCTGGCCCATCTTGACTCCAAACATTTCCCTTCATTGCTTCACACTCTATTCTTTCTGAGGAATCCTCACACAATTGCCCCTCATTCTCACCTTTCCATTCATCACCTGTTGGAAACAAAACAGACGGAATAGTAAAACCCATTCTCTGAATGTCACCAATTTCCCAGAAAGACTAAGGAGAAGCAAGACACAACAACAACAACAAAACTTTATTTATATACTGCTCTATCTCCCCAGGGGGACTCAGAGCGGTTTCCAAGTAACATAATCAATACATACAAAGAAAACAGCATAAACATAAAATTAACAAGACAATATAAGCATTAAAAGCCACAATAGCACATATATTTAAAAATAATCCTGCCTGATCAAGGCAGTTTAAAAGGCCGGGCCGGGCTGGTGCCAGGAAATTAGGTAGAGTCTATGGCTGTACATTTCCAGGGCCTAAGAGAAGAAAGTGACCTGGGTAATTGGTAGAAGAAGATATGGCCAATTTCAACAGTATCTGGGGCAGAGCTAGAACTAGTCATTCTCAAAGGTTTGTTTAAACCACCAGGTCTTCAGGCTCTTATGGAAGGAGGGGAAGGATGGGGCCTGTCTTATTTGTCCAGGAAGGGTGTTCCAGAGGAGGGGAGGCACCACCGAGAAGACCCTCTCTCTCGTCCCCACCAACCGTGCTTGTGACAGTGGTGGGAGCGAGAGGAGGACCTCCCCGGAAGATCTTAAAGTTCATGCCGGTTCCTAGAGGGAGATGCGATCACGAAGATAGGCGGTGCCCAAACCATTTAGGGCTTTATAGGTCATAACATGCACCTTGAATTTGGCTCAGCAACTTATCGGCAGCCAGTGAAACTGTTTTAAAAGGGGCGTTGTATGCTCCCTATAGTTTGCTCCAGTAAGGAGCCTGGCTGCTGCCCGTTGTACTAGTTGGAACTTCCGGGCCGTCTTCAAGGGCAGGCCCACGTAGAGCGCATTGCAATAGTCCAATCTGGATGTAACCAAGGCATGGACCATGCTGGCCAAGGCAGACCTCACAAGGTATGGTCACAGCTGGCGCATGAGTTTAAGTTGTGCAAAGGCCCTCCCTTGGTCGGCCCCTCTCCCTTTTTCCTTCCATTTTCCCAAGCATCATTGTCTTCTCTAACCTTTCCTGTCTCCTCATGATATGGCCAACGTACTTCAACTGTCTCTAATATCCTTCCCTCCAGTGAGCAATTGGGCCTTCTTTCCTCAAGTATGGACTGGTTGGATCTTTTTGTGGTCCAAGGCACTCTCAGAATTTTCCTCCAACACCACAGTTCAAAAGTGTCTATCTTCCTTCGCTCAGCCTTCCCTAAGGTCCAGCTCTCACATCCATAGGTTACTACAGGGAATACCATGGCTTTGACTATGTGGATCTTTGTTGCCAGTGTGATGTCTCTACTCTTCACTATTTTATCGAGATTGGTCATTCCTCTCCTCCCAAGAAGTAAGTGTCTTCTGATATCCTGGCTGCAATCTCTGTCTGCAGTCATCTTTGCACCTAGAAATACAAACCCTGTCACTGCCTCCACATTTTCTTTTTCTATTTGCCAGTTATCAATCAGTCTGGTTGCCATCATCTTGGTATTTTTGATGTTTAACTGCAGCCCTGCTTTTGCACTTTCTTCTTTCACCTTGATTAGAAGGCTCCTCAGCTCCTCCTCACTTTTGGCCATCAAAGTGTTATCATCTGCATATCTAAGTTGTTAATGTTTCTTCTGGCAATTTTAACTTCAGCCTTAGATTCGTCAAGCCCTGCATATCGCATGACGTGTTCTGCATACAACTTGAATAAGTTGGGTGACAGTATACAACCCTCAGAGGTTGTGAGGTCTATTTCCAACCTCTAAGGATGCCTGCCATAGATGCAGGGAATACGTCAGGAGAGAATGCTTCTAGAACATGGCCATATAGCCTAAAAAACCTACAACAATCTGGTCTAGAGAAGGTCCTACGCAGGGGAGAAGCAGCCACAGTGCTGTGGTTAGTCTAGCAAGAACATCCCCAACATCTAAGGACAGAAACAGCCCATTCTTCTTACCCAAGGGTCCAGCATCCCTGCCGTCATCTTCCTGTTTGGTCTCCACACTAATCTTCTTCTGCTCCATCTCAGACAGGACTTGGTCACCTTCAGGGGAATCCACCGTCTCCTCTCCGTCAGATTGCACCTATAATGTTTATCACTTGTTAGCCAAATGTATATCCCATGTATATGGCTTTCCTCTGCTCTACATTGTCCTCAAAATATTTGTAAGGCAGGACAAGGCAAGAAACAATGACTGTCACCTTAATAGTCCAGTAGGGACTTGAACCCAAATTTCCCAAGTCATAATCCTACACTCAACTTGCTCACTGGGCACTTGATGTAGGTTGCATTAGCCATTTGCAGGACACCGCTCATTCTCACTATGTTCCAAGGTTTTATAAAATTCAAAGATAAGTATGCCCAACTCCTCACTGGCGTTTAGGAGGCAATTTTACCATGTTTTTCCCCTACAGGGTTGTTTGAGAAAGACGTTATTGAACCAAGGAGAAGGATGGGAGCCCTCAGAGGGTCCAAAAACAGCCACACATCAACCTTATATTGCTCACTCGAAACCTAACCATGATGCCACCCTGGCTTGATAGTGAAAGGAGAGCTTTTGAAACCTCACACTAAGTAGCCCTTTGGGAAGTCTGGGACCTAAGAACATATAGCAATGTTTTAGAATCTTTTAGAGTTGAAGCCAAATTAAAAGCACTCAATTATTCTGGCTCAATGACTATACTAGATGTGGGGAAAGCAAAAATAAAAAAATAGTTTCCAGAATTAAAATTTTCAACTGGTTCAAATCCCAGCCCATAATGGGGCCCTTCCATATAACCCAGAATATGAAGGTGGAAAATCCCACAATATTTGTTTTGAACTGGATTATCTGAGTCCACGTTGCCAGTTAAAAGCAGAAATGTGGGATTTTATTCAGCTGTGTGAAAAGGGCCTGAGCCACAGGATCAAAACAGTGTGAGCTACACAACACTGAGACAATGAATGGTCCTCACCTGGTTTGCCTGCTTCCTGGCCTCTCCCTGCTTCTGGAGGAAGTCCTCCGCCAAGGCCACCGCCTGGGAGCAAGTCTCTGGACCACATTCCTTGACCCAGGCCACTATCTCTGGAGGCAGGACAGCCAAGAACTGCTCCAAGATTAGGAGCTCCAGGATCTGCTCCTTCGAATGCCTTTCAGCTTTCAGCCACCGGCAACACAGTTCCTGAAGCTGGCCATAAGCCCCTCTTGGCCCCTCGGACTCCCGGTAGCGGAAACGCCGGAAACATATCCGTTGCTCCTCCCGACGCATGGTATCCCCATGCAAGATGGCGGCCTTCACTTTCCCATAATCCTCCCTGCTTTCAACCTCCAAGCCGGTGAAGGCCTGCTTGGCCTCTCCGCTCAATGCTGGCAGGAGCCGGGGCACCCACTCTTCCTTGGGCCACCGGCAGGCTTGGGCCACTTGCTCAAAGGAGGCCAGGAAGGCTTTGGCATCGTCCCACGGCTCCTCCCTCGACCGAGAGGCCCCCCAATTTGGGTGAGGACCTTCCACGCTTTTTAAGAACTCCTGCCATTGGGTTTCCCACTGCTGAAGCGAATCTTTGTCGAGTTCCTGTTTCACTTCTGTTGGTCTCCTTTGCAGGAATGCCTCCATCCTACCAAAATGGCAGCTCCCTCTCACTTCCCGTGACACCTGCCCTGGTATAAGACTTCGAATGTCTTCTCGAGTCTCCATTTTCATCCTTGGTCAATACTAGCCTGAAACGGTGGGAAACGCTAGACTTTACCACAGGAGTCAAGACATTTGCATTCAGCTTTCTGTCTGGAAAACTGGAAGAAAATAAGAATATTGCATGACATTCACATGTTAAAGAGGATGAGTGACCAAAGCATAGACGAAGGGCTGGAATGAACCTGGACATTGAATAACTAATTGTGAAAAGATAAAAACAGTATGTGAGAACCGCTGTGAGTCGCCTTCGGGCTGAGAACAGCGGTATATAAGTAAGGTAAATAAATAAAGTATACTCTGACCCTTGTGTCCATGGAGGAAACCATCCTGAATTTACTGAAAAAACAGGAAACCATGGATAATAAGGAAACATTGAAATGAACAACTCAGCTAGCATACAGTTGCACTGGAGAACCTAGACAAGGAATGTCTTCTCTCTGACTACCGGCGAATGAACTACTCCAGCACCCTTCTTCCTCCTTAGAGACTCTACATTCTTCACTAAGTTATCACACTGGGGCTTTATTGCAGGCAGACCCACATTTTAGGCTACAATTTGGTGGGGCCCTCTAACCACCAAAGTTCCAGAAAGACGTTAGGGCTCACCAGTTGAAGGCAAACGATAGGGGCTTTATTCAATCTGCTAATTGGATGCAGTGTACATCAAAGGATGCGAAAATGTACATGCATAAAGCATACGGGAATGTACAACGATCTTTATACAGCCAAAGATCCATGCACTAACATTGTCAAATTTGATTTTCCCACCCCCATCCTTGATTGGCTGGATGCTGGGAGCTGGCCGGATCTATCTGTAACCTTCACTACCACACCAGTTGATGAGCTACTGATGACTGGCACTGCTCGTTCGCTTCCACTGGCTTCCCGCTACACGGCAGTGGTACCAACTTCCCCCTAGAAAATTCCGCACATGAGCTCCATCCCTTGTAACCTTACTTTCCAGATAACCCTCGTATCATCCCTCTTTTCCTCCTATAATTGAGACCCAAAGCAGCTCACAACTTTAAAAAGCCAGATAACTAAAAGCATGCAAAAAGTACTCATTAAAATGGAATTAAACTGGTCACAATAATTGAGGGTGCATCTCCACTGCTGAATAAATGCAGTTTGGTATCGCTTTTAACTGTCAGGGTCAATGCTATAGGATCAGGGCAGCTGTTCGAATCCGGGGAGATGCGGATGAGCTCCCTCTATCAGCTCCAGCTCCTCATGCGGGGACATGAGAGAAGCCTCCCACAAGGATGATAAAAACATCAAATCATCCAGGCATCCCCTGGGCAACGTCCTTGCAGACGGCCAATTCTCTCACACCAGAAGCGACTTGCAGTTTCTCAAGTCGCTCCTGATATGACAAAAAAAAGGGGGGCAGCTGTAGTTTGGGGAGGCACCAGCACTCTTTGGCAATACCTTGGAAAACTGCAATTCCCAGGATCCCCCAGCATTGATCCATGGCAGTGACAGGGGTGTGAACTGCACTCCCTCTCCAGTGGAGATGCAACCCAGAACACTCCAGTTACAACCCTCCTGTGTCCTCGTCACACTAGAGAATTAATCCACTTTGAATCTGTTTTCTGCCTCCTGCAGAATTCTGGAGTTTATAGTTTAGGGAGGAGGCTTTAACACCCTCACTAAACTACAAACACCAAAATTCTGCAAGAGGCAGAAACCGGATTTAAAGTGGATTCTATGATGAAGTAGCTCTGCTGTTTCTCATTCTGCTCCCAAAGGAGGAGGGGCAGCATTTCCCATTAGACTTTCCTTTCCCCTATCCTATCCTTTCGTTTCCCCTTTCCTCTCCTTTCCCTTTCCTTTTCCTTTCCCCTTGCTTTCCCTTCCTTTTTAATTTCCCCTTTCTTTTCCCTTCCTTTTTAATTTCCCCTTTCTTTCCCCTTTCCTTTCATTTCCTTTTTCCTTTCCCCCTTTCTTTTCCTTTCCTTTTCCTTACCCTTTCCTTTTTCCTTTCCCCTTTCTTTCCTTTTTTCTTTCCCTTCCTTTTTCCTTTCCCTTCCTTTTATCTTTCCCCTTTCCTTTCCCTTCCCTTTTTCCTTTCCTTCTTTCCCCTTTCCTCTCCCTTTCCTTTTTTCTTTCCCCTTTTCTTTCTTTTGTCTTATTTCTCCTTTCCTTTCCCCCTTCCTTTCCTTTCTTTCCCTTCCTCAGTCTTCACTCACCTTCATCCCTCCAGTTTCTTCCATCTCAATCCACGAACTCCGGCTCAGATATTTCTCCTATTCTTCCAAATCTCTCTCTCTCTCTCTCTCTCTCTCTCTCTCTCTATATATATATATATATATATATATTCTTATGTGTATATCCGTTTTCCAAAAACACACTTTCTAGAGAAGGAGCCAAGCCAGGTAGAGGAAGACACAAAATAACAAAGTCCTCTCTAGCCACCTGTAGTTCCAGATCTCGAAGGTTTCCCTTAAGGCGGCCTTTGGTCCTCCAGGCTTTTGGACTTCAACTCCCAGAAGCCTCTTCTTTGGGCAATCATCAGGAACTCTGGGAAATGAAGTCCAAAACTGCTTGGAAGGCCATTGCTTGGGAAACACTGTTGCTTTTCCTAATGTTACGACTGGGGAGTCACCTCAACATGAGAAAAATGTATTAGGCAGGTTGGGAACCACTTTGTTACAGCCTTTGGACAAAAAAGCCTGTTTAATTGCGAGCACTGGCCTTTTAAAAGCTTGGGACTTCATTTCCCAGAATGCCTAGCCGTAGGCACAAGCGGCGGAGGCTTCTGGGAGATGGAGTCCAACAAAAAAAAAACAACACTACTCTCGCGCTTGGAACGTCACGAGGTCTCGGCTCGGGAGACTGGGAAAGAAGTGAGATGTGCGCATGCGCGTACTAGAGAGCGAGCGCTTCCGGGTTGACTGTTTTCCCGCGTGAGGGAGGCTGTGGAGGTCGTCATGCCTGCGCCAGAGATGGCTGTCGAGCCTCAGAGTTCCCTCAGGAAGGAGGCCGCCATGACAGGAACCGGGAGCGACGATGGGGAGAAGGAGGCGAGTATCCTAACACTAAACTATAATGGGAGGCTTTGTTTTCCCTCAAAGGAGGCCTCAAAGCCTTTGTTGGGAGAAAGAAAGGCCTTGTTTCCATCACTTGAATGGTGTAGAGCAGGCCTGGGCCAACTGGGGCCCTCCAGGTGTTTTGGACTCCAACTCCCACAATTCCTAACAGCCTCAGGCCCTTTCCTTAAGCGGCTGAGGGGCAAAAGGAAGGGGCCTGAGGCTGTTAGGAATTGTGGGAGTTGGAGTCCAAAACACCTGGAGGGCCCAAGTTGGCCCAGGCCTGCTCTAGAGCTTCCAATGTGACTCTGTTCCAGGGTTATCAATGTCTAGCCAATAACCAAAGGTCTTTCCACACTGCCACTATATTCCAGAATGTGATCCCAGGTTATCTGGCAGTACAGACTCATATAACCCAGTTTAAAACAGAAAACCTGGGATATAGGGCCTGTCTGAAAGGGCCTAAAGTGACTCGGTCGGTTTCCCAAACTGTGGTCCTCCAGTGGTTTTGGATTTCAACTCCCAGTAGCCCCAACCACTTTGGGTTTTGGTCAGAGATTCAGGGAGCTGAACTCCAAAACCCCTGAAGGATAAAAGATTGGGAACCATTAATATTTAAATATATCTTTTTCAAAGGTTCCCTTCTTTCCCCCTCATGCACAAATGAAATTAGATCTGCCTCCTCCCTCCTGACCTTTAGGAAGCTAGTGAAAACCTGGCTGTGGAACAAAGCTTTTGCAGAATAATGTCTGAAACAATTTAACAAAGTTACTGATCACAATATATGGACTGATTAGAGAAGGCAGAGAGGGGATATGATAAGGTAAAGGTAGTCCCCTGACATTAAGTCCAGTCATGTCTGACTCTGGGGTGTGGTGCTCATCTCCATTTCTAAGCCGAAGAGCCAGCGTTGTCCGTAGACACCTCCAAGGTCATGTGGCCGGCATCACTGCATGGAGCGCCGTTACCTTCCCGCCGGAGCGGTACCTATTGATCTACTCACATTTGCATGTTTTCGAACTGCTAGGTTGGCAGAAGCTAGGGCTGACGGGAAGCTCACGCCGCTCCCCGGAATCGAACCTGCGACCTTTCGATCAACAAGCTCAGCAGCTCAGTGCTTTAACCCACTGCGCCATCGGGGATATGATAGCCATATATAAATATGTGAGAGGAAGCCACAGGGAGGAGGGAGCAAGCTTGTTTTCTGCTTCCTGGAGACTAGGACGCGGAACAATGGCTTCAAACTACAAGAGAGGAGATTCCATCTGAACATGAGGAAGAACTTCCTGACTGTGAGAGCCGTTCAGCAGTGGAACTCTCTGCCCCGGAGTATGGTGGAGGCTCCTTCTTTGGAAGCTTTTAAACAGAGGCTGGATGGCCATCTGTCAGGGGTGCTTTGAATGCAATATTCCTGCTTCTTGGCAGGGGGTTGGACTGGATGGCCCACAAGGTCTCTTCCAACTCTATGATTCTATGATTATACGAAGTAAACTGGATACAATTTTATCTTGGCGAACGGCTTTTATGTAATTTATTTTATTTTTATTTGGTAGTTTAATGTTCAATGTATTGTCGAAGGCTTTCATGGCCGGAATCACTGGGTTGTTGTAGGTTTTTTTCGGGCTATAAGGCCATGGTCTAGAGGCATTCTCTCCTGACGTTTCGCCTGCATCTATGTCAAGCATCCTCAGAGGTAGTGAGGTCTGTTGGAACTAGGAAAAGCGGATAATATATCTGTGGAATGACCAGGGTGGAACAAAGGACTCTTGTCTGCTGGAGCTAGGTGTGAATGTTTCAACTGACCACCTTGATTAGCATACAGTGGGCTGACTGTGCCTGGAGCAAACTTTTGTTGAGACCAAACGCAGCGCCCAAACACAAATCAAGGAACATGAAAGGCACTGCAGACTACTTCAACCAGAAAAATCATCCATAGCAGAGCACCTGATGAACCAACCTGGACACAGCTTTTTATTTGAGAACACAGAAATGCTGGACCACTCTCACAACCACCATGTCAGACTACACAGAGAAGCCATTGAAATACACAAGCATGTGGACAATTTCAACAGAAAGGAGGAAACCATGAAAATGAACAAAATCTGGCTACCAGTATTTAAAAAACTCTAAACTTACAACAGCAAAACAACAGAGAGGAAATAATCAGGGACATCTAATCACCTCTCAACAAAAGTTTGCTCCAGGCACAGTCAGGCCATTGTATGCTAATCAAGGTGGTCAGTTGAAATATTCACACCTAGCTCTAGCAGACAAGAGTCCTTTGTCTCACCCTGGTCATTCCACAGATATATAAACCTTTTTTCCTAGTTCCAACAGACCTCACTACCTCTGAGGATGTTTGCCATAGATGCAGGCGAAACGTCAGGAGAGAATGCCTCTAGACCATGGCCATATAGCCCAAAAAACCCTACAACAACCCAGTAATTTAATGTTGTTTATCATGTTTTAGATGTTTAATGTTAGCATTGAATCTTTGCTATCAGCCCGTCCGAGTCCCTCTTCTGAGGTAGAGAAGATCGGGATATAAAAGCTTTAAATAAGTATATAAATAAATAAATAATATGCTTTCCTGTATTCTTGCACCTTTGAGTTTAATTGATTGAAATTGTTTAATTCAGGAGTCCTCAAACTAAGGGGATTCCAGATCTGAATCAATCATGGCCAACAAAGGATTCCCCCAGGCAACAACCAGTCAGGCTTTGAAGCTGCAAGGACCGAGCTCTACTGATTGAGAGGTCATGAAGCCAGCCCGGGTCGGAGTGAGCTTCTGGCCATTAGTCTAGCTTGCAGTCGACCTTTGCAGCCCGAAAGACAGTTGCATCAACCCAAGTGATTCTGGCCATGAAAGCCTTCGACATTTGCCATGAATATTTTTTCCTTCCTTTCTCCCCAAATAAATTTATTTATTACTTCTTTGCTTTATTGATTGTGTGTTTCCTTGTTTTCCAGGAAAGTAAACAAACAGATCATCTTGACAACTGTGCCGTTGAGAAAACTATGTCAAGTCAAAAAGGTGAGCCTCTTGCTGTTACATTTCACCTTTCTCCCAATATGGGATTCAAGCAGCTTACAAGCGTTAAATCAGATGTAGGGTTCAAATGAATGTAGTTTGGCACCACTTTAACCGCCATGGCCCAGTGGCATGGAATAATAGGAATTGTAGTTTTGTAAGATCTTTTGCTTTCATTGCCCAAGAGTGCTGGTGTCTCACCACCTTCAGTTCCCATTACCATGGTCATGGCAGTTAAAGTGGTTAAAAACTGTGTTCATTCTACAATGTAGATGTATCCTAAGGCTTCAGGTAATTGCAGTTTAGCATCTTCTAGAAGGCTTCAACAGGGGCAATACCTCAATACAATTAAGACATAGAAAGTACATTAAAATGTGAATTTAAAAATTAAATATTTTGTGTCTTGAGACATAAAAATGTTAAAATATGTAACATATCTGGCCTCTCATAATTCCTAAAATGCCTAACGGCAGAAGTATGTTTTCACCTGACTGCAAAAGGCAAATAGGGACAGGGCCACCCTGGCCTCTCTAGGGCGGGACCACTTTAACTGCCATGACACAGTGCTACGGAATCCTGGGATTTGTAGTTTGGTGACACACCATATTTCTTTCATAGAGTAGGCCAAAGGCCTTGTAAAACTACACTTCCATTAACATGGTATGTATTTATTTACTATATTTGTTTACCACCTTTCTCAACCCTTAGGTATTCAACTGCATTCATTCTACAATGTAAAGGAAAGGTTGGAAGGGAAGGAAGGAGGGAGGGAGAAAGGGGGAGGTAAGGGAAGGAGGAAGGATGGATAGGATGGTGAGAGAAGAACCTGAGAAAAAGAGCCCAAGGCAAACCCAGGCCTGGATTTGCCCATTCCTAATCTATATGTTAGGCCATACACTTTCTTTCCTCCTGCTTGTAAGCACCCCAAACATTTCTGGTTGACAATTTGGGAATAACAGCAATGTAGACTAGATTTAGCTGTGATGGATATGTTTATGTCCTTAGATACACTGATAGAACAATCCCAGGATGAAGGTAGAGGCAGTCCGTTCCCTGCAGCAGTACATCACAAGGCTCCTGAAGGAACCGCCAAATACTTTGGAAATTGCCCTGTAGTGAAGGAGGAACCTGAAGAAGCCACAACCCAGCAATGGGAAGCGCAGTGGCAGGAGTACCTGAGTTCAGTGGATGATTCTGCTTCCCTGCCGGAGGCCCCCCACTTTCCACAGGAGCCAGCCCCCTGGGATGACACCCCGGCCTTCCTGGCCTCCTTTGAACAAGTGGCCAAAGCCTCTCAGTGGCCCGAGGAAGAGTGGGCAAGCCGCCTCCTCCCGACTCTCAAGGGGGAAGCCGAGCTGGCCTTCAGCAGCCTGGAGGATGAGGAAAGAGAGGATTATCGGAAAGTGAAGGCGGCCATCCTGAGAGGAGACACCCTGAACCAAGAGAAGAGCCGCCAGTGCTTCCGGCGTTTCTGCTACCAGCAAGCGGACGGGCCGAGGGGCACTTACAACCAGCTCCAGGAGTTTTGCCGGAAGTGGCTGAAGGCCGAAAGAAACTCCAAGGAGCAGATCCTGGAGCTGCTGATCCTGGAGCAGTTCCTGACCGTTCTGCCCCCAGAAATCCGGGGCTGGGTCAAGAAACATCACTTGGAGAGCAGCGCTCAGGCCGTTTCCCTGGCGGAGGATTTTGTACTCCAGCAAGGATTGTCTCTGGTGAAGGAGGAACAGGTAAGGAGAAATATTATTCTTGTTGCATCTGCTCTTCAATCTTAGTTCTGGGCTGCGATCGGAAGCAAAAGGTTGCTTAGAATTGTGAGCATATGAATTCATATTCTATAGAGAGCTCCCAACCAATTTCTGTTGACTTTGATGTTTCAACTGAGGTCTTTTTTTTTTTTGGAAATTTTGAATGATTTTGACTGTCTATATAAGACATGGACAAACTTTGACCCTCCAGCTGTTTTGGACTTCAACGATTCCTAACACCCAGTAGGCTGTTAGGAATTGTGAGAGTTGAAATCCAGAACACCTGGAGGGCCAAGCTTTGCCCATGCCTGGTCTATATAGTAATAAGGTCTGTGTAAAGCTGTTGAGATTTAAGTTGAAATCTCTGCTCCTAAAGTGACGGCACTCATTCATGCCTTATCCTACTCACAGGATTTGTGGGAATGCAGAATAGACATGTCAGAAGAGAGGAATGTATTTTGTCATCTTTGCTGGCCCTTGTGGGAAAGAGATAGCCTTTCTGAGAGAGGTACATACCTCCCTTTGAAACATTTATTTTTGCAAAGAGATCCCATTTGAGTGATCTGAAAACGTACAGAGATTTGGTGGGTTCTATTTTTTAAAAATCACTTAGTGGTCATTCCCATCCGCTTTGAGTCTCAAAGCAGGATAAAAGTAAATAAATAATAATAAATCATTCTCATTTTTATTTCTGTTGTGCTTTTTGGCACATTCATTTTGAACAGTTTCTGCTTCATTTGGGAAGTTTCAGCTCCACATGCCTCCCAAAGATCCCAGAGTTGGAAAATTCATCCCCTTACCTGTTTATAATCGCCTGTCCGTCTTTTAAGAAGAAATGGCCACTGGGATAATTTCCAAGTCTTAAAAATCACTCTTGTTTCAGTTCTGGACTGTTGCACAAAATTATCTACTATGGCATATGGAACCTTGTCTTCCAGTTTTCTTTGTTACAAATTAAGGTTGTTGATTCTAAACATAGTGTAATGTTTCAGAGGGCGACCAAAATGATCAAGGGTCTGGAGAACACGTCCTATGAGGAGCGGCTTAAAGAGCTGGGCATGTTTAGCCTCTATAAAAGAAGGCTGAGAGGAGACATGATGAGGGCCATGTATAAATATGTGAGGGGAAATCATGAGGAGGAGGGATCAAGCTTGTTTTCTGCTGCCCTGGAGACTAGGACACAAAACAATGGCTTCAAACTACAGGAAATGAGATTCCATCTGAACATGAGGAAGAACTTCCTGACTGTGAGAGCTGTTCAGCAGTGGAACTCTCTGCCCCGGAGTGTGGTGGAGGCTCCTTCTTTGGAGGCTTTTAAGCAGAGGCTGGATGGCCATCTGTCTGGGGTGCTTTGAATGCAATTTTCCTTCTTCTTGGCAGAATGAGGTTGGACTGGATGGCCCACGGGGTCTCTTCCCACTCTAGGATTCATAATAGTTGCTAAACATATCGATAGAAGACAAGGATAAGTCAGAGTCTGCCGAAATTGCTAAAGCCTTCTGTTGGTCTTTCAAAAAAAAATAGTACCACTGCATCTATGACAATCACCCCAACATCAGAGAGATCTATACTAATAAGTCCATTCTAGACATAAAATGCTAGGACTAATCTACGAGCCCCACACTCATTGTCTGCTGAATTTTACTTCTTATTTTCCCACTCCCTTTAGATCAGTGGTTCCCAACCTATGGCCCATGGACCACCAATGGTCTGCAGGAACTAAAATATGGTCCGCAGCCTCACTGTTACTACACCATTGCAACAAGAGCAACTGATCTCGCGAAACCCTCTTATAGTGCCGATGGTTATTAAATATGGTTTTCTGTGGGCAAGCATTTGGCGACTACTGGATGGCATATGTTCTGTATCAGAAATTAGAGCTGATGTGGTCTGTGTAAGGCAATTTTCTGAATCAGCATCCCAATTAACCAAACCAAATCTAAAGTTGACCAAAAACAGATTCGTAACCCTTTTGGTACTAATTTTGGAGAGTGGTCCCTGGACAAAAAAAGGTTGGGAGCCACTGCTTTAGATAGATAGTTCCACCTTGTCTCCTGTGCTATTCTAATAATATAATATAATATATTGTATATACATACTAGCCGTACCCTGCCACGCGTTGCTGTGGCCCACATGGGGGTACTGTGTGGAAGGTTTGGCCCAATTCTATCGTTGGCGGGATTCAGAATGCTCTGTGATTGTAGGTGAACTATAAATCCCAGCAACTACAACTCCCAAATGTCAAGATTCTATTTTCCCCAAATTCCACCTGTATTCACATGTGGGCATATTGAGTATTTGTGTAGAGTTTGGTCCAGATCCATCATTGTTTGAGTCCACAGTGATCTCTGGATGTAGGTGAACTACAACTCCAAAACCAAAGGACACTGCCCACCAAACCCTTCCAGTATTTTATGTTGGTCACGGGAATTCTGTGTGCCAAGTTTGGTTCAATTCCATCATTGGTGGGGTTCAGAATGCTCTTTGATTGTAGGTGAACTATAAAACCCAGCAACTACAACTCCCAAATGACAAAATAATTTTTTTAGGGAAGGACATACATTGGGTTGTTAGGTGTCTTTTGTCCAAATTTGGTGTCAATTTGTCCAGTGGTTTTTGAGTTCTGTTAATCCCACAAACGAACATTACATTTTTATTTATATAAGATAATATTTATAATATTATAATGTAATGCAATATAATGCTAATAATATTATGATATTATAATTATATATTTATACTACATGTATTATTACTAACTATTACAATATAATGGTATAGTACAATATAGCAATATTTAATACTGATATTGTACTATGCTAATAATATAATATATTGTATGTATATATATCTTGTAAGCCTCTCTGAGTCCCCTTCGGGGTGAATCTTGTAAGAAAGTAAATAAATAAATAAGAGAACTGTATGTCACACTTCTGCTTCTGTAATGTTATAATAATTGTAATAAATTGTTATAAAAAGCATTACAAATTAAGTAACCCAATCGTCGCTGGGTATCTAAGCTAGTCATACATAATAGTAAGTTTGTCTATTTCTGCTAATTCATACATCTTCATCAGCTATTCTTCTTGCGTTGGAATAAGTAGTCCCTTCCATCTCCACTTATAGACAATTTTCCCTACAGATATTGTATCTTGGAAGTTTCCTTTCTAGTTGATTGTCTGACATCCCCAAGAAATAACCTTCTGTTGTTCTTGTAGTCAACTTGGTCCCAAGGGGAAGGATCAGAGTTGGAGGAAAACTTGTCAGATACCGGGCCAAGGCCACAACTGTGCAAGGAATTGGAAATGGAGGAAGACACAGACTTCTCTGATGCTGACTTGTTGGGTAAGAATTATTTGAAACTTAAAGATATGATGGCCTTAAAAGCAGGGCCTTGCAATACACTCTTGTAGCATGGAGTACATCTTATATGACCAGCTTGAGTGTTGAACCATGAGTCTAGACAACAGGGTTTGAGTCCTCCTCTGCCTCGGAAACCTAAATCATGCACTCTCAGCGTCAAAGGAAATAAATGACAAACCTCCCATGTGATAAAGTTGCCTTAATTTGTTTTCTTATTGTGCCAGGAGCAAATTGAGAATATAGTTATAATGTATTTCAAAAAACCACAAAGATACAAAAACTTTATAGTAAATTTCCTTTGACCAAAAGCTGTCCACTTGGAGTGCCTCTAATGTCGCTGTAAGAAGATCCTCCATTGTGCATGTGGCAGGACTCAGGTTGCATTGTAGTAAGGTTGCCTTAATGTTATATTTAAATGAGGGATCTGATCCTTAGAGTTCTTCAGCAAGAGAAGATCACGAAGTGGGAGAGCACAAAAGTATATTTTAGCTGCAGCAAAGAAATGTCTAGGGCAAGGGTCCTCAAACGTTTTAAACAGAGGGTCAGGTCATAGTCCCTCAAACTGTTGGAGGGCTGGATTATAATTTGAAAAAAGCATGAATGAATTCCTTTGCACAATGCACATATCTTATTTGTATTGCAAAAAAAAAACACTTTAAACAATACAATAACTAAAACGAAGAACATTTTTAACAAATATAAACTTAGTATTTCAGTGGGAAGTGTGGGCCTGCTTTTGGCTGATGAGATAGGATTGTTGTTGTGTGCTTTCAAGTCATTTCAGACTTAGGTTGACTCTGAGTGAGGGCCGGGTAAATGACCTTGGAGGGCCGTATCCAGCCCTCAGGCCTTAGTTTGAGGACCCCGGTCTAGGGTTTCAGGTCCTTCAAATAGACTGAGTGAGATGAAAGGACTAATTCTTTATACATTTCTGTAGTATGGAAATCACAAAACATACATCACATTTCTTGGCCCATGTGTCATTTGCAGACTGTGTAAGTCAGGGATCCTCAAAGTTTTTAAACAGAGGGCCAGGTCACAGTCTCTCAAACTGTTGGAGGGCCAGATTATAATTTGAAAACAAATGAATGAATTCCTATGCACACTGCACATATCTTATTTGTGGTGCAAAACCACTTAAAACAATACATTAATTAAAATGAAGAACAATTTTAGCAAATATAAACTTATTAGTATTTCAATGGGAAGTGTGGGCCTGCTTTTGGCTGATGAGATAGGATTGTTGTTGTTGTTGTTGTGTGCTTTCAAGTCTTCAGACTTAGGTTGACCCTGAGCGAGGGCCGGGTAAATGACCTTGGAGGGCTGCATCCAGCCCCCGAGCCTTAGTTTGAGGACCCCTGGTGTAAGTACACTCCATGATGCTCAACCAACAACGTTGTTTAGCAGAGAAAACTAAAGTCATTGTAAAACTACTTCTCCCATGATCCTATAGCATTCAGACAACACCTTTCAGGTGGTGTCAACATGCATTAATTCTACAAGGTAGCAGCACTCCCAAGTCTCTAGAGTAGTAGACAACAAGCTTTCCCCCTCCTCACTGTGACTTCCTTTCAATTATTTAATCATAGCTATCATGTCCCTTCTCAGCCTTCTCTTCTCCAAGCTACACATGCCCAGCCCCATTCCTCTTAGGGCTTGGCTTCCAAACATTCAATCATTTTGGTTGCTCTTCTTTAGACACCTTCCAGCTTGTCAAAATTCCTCTTGAATTGTGGCGCACAGAGCTGGACACGGCATTATTCCAGGTGGGGTCTGAGGCAAAGTTGGTTTTTTGTGTGTGTCAGGAGCGACTTGAGAAACTGCTAGTTGCTTCTGGTGTGAGAGAATTGGCTGTATGCAAGGATATTGCTCAGGGGACAGTGTTTTACTGCTATCCTGTGGGAGGCTTCTCTCATGTCCCCACATGGGAAGCTGGAGCTGACAGAGAGGAGCTCACCCCGCTCCCTGGATTCAAATCGCTGACCTTTTGGTCAGCAGTCCTGGGACAAGGGTTTAAACCATTGCATTACCGGGGTCTCTGTCCAGGCAAAGTAATATCCATCAATCTAAGATTCAAACCAGTGTTTCCAGAAGTCATGCCAAGAACTCAGTCCAAATATTTATACAAAGTTCCAAGGTTCATGGCTCAGTTTCAGGATTCCCCAGGATACACACAGGCTACCAGGACATGGCATCACTTCTAACCCAGAGGACAAACACATCCCAGATACTGTTATCCAAAGTACAGTGTATTACAGCATCCTTTTATGCTGCTCTTTACACTGCACCCCATTTCAGCAGGCCTCCCAAATGGTCACTACAGCTTGTGAATAATTACTTGAAAGGGGAAGTCAACTTGACCACTTACAAACATGAGGGAGATTATTTTATTTTATTTATTTATTGCACTTATATACTGCTTTTCTCATCCCTAGGGGGACTCAAAAGTGGTTCCCAACATAATCAATGGCAAAATTCAATCCCTTACATGTATAAAACAACACATATCAAAACAACAACAATGACAATAGAATAAAACCATTAAAATTATAAAAAATATATGGCAACAGTCAGACAATACATAAAATATTTAGGCCTCGCTGTCCGAATCTGTAGCTTTCTGGCAAAGAAATTACCTCACAAATAAGTGGGCAGGATTTATTTCTAAAAGCATACTTTGGGGTACGAAACAAAATTCCAACTGACAGTTTATTTCCCTCATGCCCCCTATCCCTCACCCTGGCCTCTCCCCTTCATTGGTCCCATTTCCATGGAAACACTCTCCTTTGTTTCAGATCTACACAGGCCAGGTCTAAGGCATAGTCTAATTTCCTGGCTTCACACAAAACCAAGAAATAAAATCATGACACTTGCATAATCCTGATGATATCTTTGACTAGATTAACCCCTTCCAACAGTTCTCCAGCAGCTATACTAAAAAAAACCAAACTGCTGGTCATGAGGAGAGTGGGACTAATCTAGACCCGTGTGTCACAAACTCTGGCCATACAGGTGTTTTGATTCCCAAAATCCCCGATCATTGCCCAAAAGCTGAGGATTCTGGGAGCTGAAGTCCAAAACACTTGGAGGACTAGAGTTTAGATATCACTCATTACTGTATTCCTATTGATGCATCCTAGAACCCCATTACTTTTTAGCGTTCACCATTGACATGCAGTACTATATGCTTAATTCATTTATTTAATTAATTTGCAGTATTTATATTCCGCCCTTCTCATCCCGCAGGGGACTTAGGGCAGATTACAATGCACATATACATGGCAAACATTCAATGCCATTTAGACATACAACATATATAGACAGACACAGAGGCAATTTTAACATTCCAGCTTTTTCTGGCTTCATGGAAGTACGCTCGGTTCTGGCCCCAGGGGGAGCTTCCGCTTCACCGTCCACTTTGATGGAGTACTTCCTCATTCTTCTGCATGCTGCTGGAAGTTTTTATGGTGTCGTAAATTAGTTAAATTAGCCTCCCCGCATAAAGCAGTACCTAAATTTCCTACTTGACAGATGCAACTGTCTTTCGGGCTGCATAGGTAAACAGCAAGCTAGACTATTAATGATTGGGAGCTAACTCTGACCTAGGCTGGCTTCGAACTGAGTAGTGGTTTGATGCAGCTGGCTACTTACTAGTTGCGCCACAGCCCGGTCATTGCTTAATCTATATACTTGATCCAATTGGGATTGATTTATGCTGAATAGCTTTGTGGGTCATAACAATCAGATATTTGCCATAATAAAACATATAGAGTTTGCCCCCTTTAAAAATCATAGAATAATAGAATCAAAGAGTTGGAAGAGACCTCTTGGGCCATACAGCCCAACCTGCCAAGAAGTAGGAATATTGCATTCAAATCACCCCTGACAGAAGGCCATCCAGCCTCTGTTTAAAAGCTTCCAAAGAAGCAGAGAGTTCCGCTGCTGAACGGCTCTCACAGTCAGGAAGTTCTTCCTCATGTTCAGGTGGAATCTTCTTTCTTGTAGTTTGAAGCCATTGTTCCGTGTCCTAGTCTCCAGGGAAGCAGAAAACAAGCTTGCTCCCTCCTCCCTGTGGCTTCCTCTCACATATTTATACATTGCTATCATATCTCCTCTCAGCCTTCTCTTCTTCAGGCTAAACATGCCCAGCTCCTTAAGCCACTCCTCATAGGGCTTGTTCTCCAGACCCTTGATCATTTGAGTCGCCCTCCTCTGGACACATTCCAGCTTGTCAATATCTCTCTTGAATTGTGGTGCCCAGAGTTGGACACAATATTCCAAGTGTGGTCTAACCAAAGCAGAATAGAGGGGTAGCATTACTTCCCTGGACCTAGACATTATGCTCCTATTAATGCAGGCCAAAATCCCATTGGCTTTTTTGTACTGCCAATTGAACTAATGACTAATTACTAAGGCAAATTCTAAATTGGAGAACTGCTTGTCATTTCAGCAGATGGTGAAGATGAGGAGAATCGCCTACAAGAAAACCCTGAACATCAGAGAATGCGCACGAGAGAGCCCCCATATATATGTTCTGATTGTGGGGAAGGTTTCTTGTCAAGACTATCACTGGAGGCACACCAGAGGGTGCATATGGGGCAGAAGTCGTCTTTGGCTCCTCCCGAAGTCACAGTCTATATCTGTGGCGAGTGTGGGGAAACCTTCAACAGTACATTGGACCTTAGCGCACATGAGAGAATCCATGCGGGACAGAAGTCTTGCACATGCAACGAGTGCGGGGAAAGTTTCTCCCAGATGTTGGACCTGAGAAAACACCAGAGAACCCACAGTGGAGAGCGTGGTTTCAAAATGCCTGGTTCTGGGGAGACGTGGGTTTCGTCTCATCCAAACCATAGAGATATGCGTAGTGGAAGTAATAACACTCCGACTTTGCGCAAAGAAAGCCAAACAAAGAAGAAAACCTGCCCAAGGTGTGGGGAAGTCTGTACTTGCCCATGGAAGCTTCGATTGCATCTAAGAAGTAGATCCCATGAGAATGTCCGCCGCGTACGAAGGAATTCCCACAAGTGCTCCAAGTGTCAGAAATGTTTTGCCAGTGAGATCACCCTCAGCATCCATCAGTGCCTGCGTACTGGGGAGAAACCCTTTAAATGCCCAGACTGTCCTGTGACCTTTCTGTGGAAAAGCAACCTCAGCAGGCATAGAGTGAATGTGCATAAAAGGGAGCCATTCAACGCTCCTCTGCAGAGGGAGATGGTGGCGAAGACAAAGGGTTTCCCCAGAGCCTCAACTCTCAACAGGCACCAGAGCCTCCAAAGCAGAGAGAAGCCTTTCCAGTGCAACGACTGTGGGCAGAGTTTCCTGTGGGCTGTGTCTCTTAAAAGGCATCGGAAAAAGTTCCACAGAGGGAAGAAATCAATCTTAGCAAAGGTGCCTGGTATCCAGGGGAAGCGCCACGTGTGTCAAGATTGCGGAGAAAGCTTTAAACACCAGGGGCTTCTCAACTCCCATCGCTGTGTTCGTGCGAAAAAGAAACCCTATGTGTGTGCTATCTGCGGGGATTGTTTCCAGTGGGGGGTATCCCTCTATCGGCACAGAAAGCAGGTCCACAAATGGACGACGTTTCCCCCGCTTTTGCAAACGAGACCAGCCGGGCAGGACAAAATCCACACATGCAAAAAGTGCGGGAGGAGCTTCAATCGGCCCTGGCGCCTCGCCGCCCATCGGTGCAACCCCGTGGCAACGGAAACACACAACTCTCCGGTATCCGGTGCCGTAACAAAAGGTTTTTCGTGTCCGGTGTGTAAGAAGAAGTTTGCCCGAGAAAATCACCTCAACGCGCACCAGCACGTCCACACGGGAGAGGAACCCTACCAGTGTGGAAGCTGTGGAGAGCGTTTCATGTGGAGGCCCTCTTTTTACAGCCACAGGAGGCATACGCATCAAGGGATTGCGCGTCTTATGAGAGCGACGCCATGTCTGAAGGGGAAGTGCAGTGTCTGTGGGAAGAATCCCACTTTTGAAAGACACGCGAAGGACCCCGGGAGAGAGAATGCAACCCCCAATCACAAGAAAAAGGAAACGGGGCCTCCTTCGGAAAGGCTGTCCGGTGACTCCAAAAACATGTGTAAAGTGTGTGGGAAAACTTTTAGCGACCCATCCTACGTAGCAAAACATCAGCGCGTCCACACTGGGAAGCAACCCTATCAATGCTCTGACTGCCAGCAATGCTTCCGCTGGCGTACATCTTTTATCAACCACCGAAAGATTCACAAACATCGCAAACCGGGCAAGCTGATTCAGAAATTATCTGGTGCGGAAAAGACGGGTATGAAATCTTACAAATGCTCAGACTGTGGGGAGAGTTTTTTGGGTCTCGCAGCTCTCGACTTGCATCAGATGACGGACCACATGGGGAAGAAACTGGTCCCCGTTTTGGAAAGGATCCCCAGTACACCGTACGAGATGTCTTTCAAAGCTGGCAAAAAGCGCCATCAGGAGATAGAAGGACTAAGGCAGAAACCCACCCCAAATGACAGCAAAAGCTACATCTGTAACCTGTGTGGGAAAGGCTTCGCTTATCCATCGAGCCTTTGGAGGCACCAGTATGTCCATCTTCCAATGAAGCTGTTCCATTGCCACCTGTGTGGGAAGAAGTTCACGCTCAAGGAGTACCTTGCAAAACACATGAAGCGCCATGCTGGGCTCTAATAGTTGTGGCGAAGTCACCAAGAGCAGTGCATGCCCAATACAGGCCGGCATAACGGGCACGTGAAAAATGGGATCATTATGGCTCCTGGAGGGGATCGTTGGGAACAATTTTGGCATTGATGGCTATGGGGAAACCCAGGGAAAGTCCCACATGCAGCTCAGGAATCGCAAAGTTGGGATCTCAGGAGAGGAAGCCATCGTTGGACTCCGGAGCGGAAAGAAATGAACACATCGTTCCAAAAAATGTGTATAATGCTGATGAGGCAGGGGGGGATTCAAAGAGTTGTTGATATTTGGCCTCAGGACAAAGACAAGGAAAGGAAGCCCAGTGCTAGGCAGACCCCACACAAGGTAACTTGAATATTATTAATTGAAAATATGATGCTTTTCATCAAATTTTTGTCCCCAAATGCCTTTTAGGGGCGTGGGGACATTCCTTTTTTTCTTTACTAACTTGCTATCCTGTTTCCTCGAAAGTAAGACAGGGTCTTATATTGCTTTTGCCCCAAAACATGTGTTGGGGCTTATGTAGAGCTGTCTGGACACTATTTAAATTGACTTTTTAAATAGTGACGTCTAACTAGGACTTATTTTTGAAGAAGGGCTTATATTTCAAGCAACCTCAACAATCCTGAGAAAAAGTCATGCTAAAGAGGTCTTATTTTTGGGGAAACAGGGTAGTAAAGGCTCCTTTGGAGGCTTTCAAACAGAGGCTGGGATGGCCATCTGCTGGGGGTGCTTTGAATGTAATTTTCCTGCTTCTTGGCAGGTGGTTTGAACAAGTTTTTTAGGGCTTCTGGGAGTTGGATTGGTCAACAAGGTCCCTTCCAACTCTGATTCTAAGTCAGGCATCCTGCGGACCTCCAGCTGTTTGGGCCTCCAACTCCCAGAAGCCCTAACAAACTTGTTCAATTGTCAGGAATTCTGGGACTTGAAGGCCCAAACAACTGGAGGGCTGCAGTTTGAGGATGCCTGTTCTAAGTGATCCAGAAATTGACCTGACCACTTCCAGGTGGAAAATGGCTTCCAAAGGGCCTGGAACATGATTAAATATTGCTCCCCCCCACTCAATGTGCAGCGGGTTAAACCACTGAGCTGACCGAAAGGTTGGCAATTCGAATCCGGGGAGTGGGGTAAGCTTCTGCTGTTATCCCCAACTTCTGCCAACCTAGATGTTCGAAAACATGCAAATGTGAGTAGATCAGTAAGTACCGTTTCTGCAGGAAGGTAACAGCGCTCCATGCAGTCATGATAGCCACATGACCTTGGAAGTGTCTATGGACAACACCGGCTCTTCGGCTTAGAAGTGGAAATAAGAACCACCCCCCAGAATTAGACATGACTGGACATAATGTGAGGCCTCCTTAGCTTAATGTGGGGCGAAATCTTTAGCTTACTAAATCAGATATTGGCTTGTATTTGGTGGAAAGAAAATATTGTTGTGTCTGAAGGCCAAGGCAGCCCACCTCCGTTAGAAAACACTGGATTGGATCTAAATAATAAATGTCTCCATCTCAGCTGGTGGAGGCAAATTTCTCCTTCCCTATATTTCCCCCAACCATAGACCTCCCATTCCCTATAAATGGAATAGGGGACTGTACAAAACTTAAGACTTGAGATGTTTTGCAAGGAATATATGGAGAGTTGTATGGTGCCATTTTAGAAGAGTTGAGATGTACCATTATATGTATCTGTAAGACATTAAGTCCAAGCCACTTTCTATGTGTCATTTTCTATACTTCCCTCGATTTTTGTTATCCTTTCCACTTCCTTTTTTAAAGTTTTTTTTTACATACTTGTAATGTCTGTTGTTTTTTTTGGAATTTCTCAATAAAAATATGTTTGTTTTCTTAAATGTCAATTCCTTCTTTAATCTGCTTGCCAGCAGAAAAGGCATTAAAAGCAGCCTCAGGTAGGTATACCTAGTAATGCATTTTGGTTGCTTTGGGGAAATATTCTAGGAATTAGGGGCCCCAAAAATATCAATTCTGGGGTTTTTAGGGGAGCTGGTATTATTGTATATACGTGAGTATAATTCAACCCAAATATAAGCCGATGCACCTAATTTTACCACAAAAAAACTGGGAAAACATATTGATGTGAGTATAAGCGGAAGGTGGGAAATGCAGCAGCAACTGGTAAATTTCAAAATCAAAATACTGTAGATGCCAATAAAATTACATTAATTGATGCATCAGTAGGTTAAGTGGGTTGTTGTGAGTTTTCCGGGCTGTATGGTCATGTTCCAGAAACATTCTCTCCTGATGTTTCGCCTACATCTATGGTAGGAATCCTCAGAGGTTGTGAGGTCTGTTAGAAACTAGGAAAATTGGGTTTGGGTTGATATATCTGTGGAAAGAACTCTCATGTTTGAGGTAGCTGTGAATGTTTCAATTCGCCTCCTTGATTAACATTTAATGGCCTAGCAGTTTCAAAGTGTGGTTTCTTACTGCCGGGGGGGGGGGGGGAATCCTTTGTTGGGGCGTAATTAGCTGGCCCAGATTGTTTCTTGTCTGGAATTCCCCTGTTTTACGTCAGGAGAGGCTGCTTCTGGAACATGGTCATACAGTCTAGAAAACTTACAACAACCCAGTGATTCCGGCCATGAAAGCCTTCGACGTTAGGTTAACTGTTTTGAAATATTTATATAAAACTAGTTTAAGATAAGTCTGTCCAACACCGCTTGTCAATGTAAATGTGCTTATGTATCCTTCCAATAATATTAAAGACCTCATTTTACCTCATTTCCCAAGTAAGATATAATTAATGCTGAATTAGGTTTGTTGTGTGCTTTCAACACGTTTTAGATTTATCAGTTTTTTTGTCAAGATATATTCAAAGGGGATTTGCCTTTGTCTTCCTCCAAGGCTTTTTCCATTCTTTCTTTCCCCCCTCTTCCCTCATCTTCTTCCCTTCCCTTCCCTTCCTCTCCCTTCCTCCCTTCCTTCCCTGATGTAGAGGAAGCAGCAAACAGATGCACAAAGGCAGTGAATAGGATTGTGGGCAAGTAAAAGCAGTGACCAGGGGATTAGGGGCTCAGTGGGCCCGTTAGATAGAAATGGCACAGCATTTCTAATCACATAAAATAGTTTGGGAAACATTGAAAGCACATGGCTAATGACTGTGAATGTCATTATGCTTGAGATACCATGTGAGGTGAGGTATTTTGCAAAAGGGGTGCGTGAGCCAATGTTCTTCACTGATGTTCTTCACTGATCAGCTAGTGACTATATAAGGAAAATAAAAGAATCCATCTTTCTCTGTCCTGTGTGACTCTGTGTGAGCATCTGTCTATGACTATTTGATGACTGGCTGTTTGCAAGTACATGGAAAGCGGACGTGCGAATCCTGTTTGTACATTTGTATACAATGCAACAGTGAAGATTAAATCCTCCGGATATTTTGGATGAAAATGTGAATCCGTGACTTTACTAAAACAATGTGTAGACAAGATCAGATGCTGATAGTTGGACTCTGCTGATAAGATGGGGTGAAGCACATGTTTTACCTGTGAAAGGACTCTGCTGTAGTTTCTTGCTTCTGGGACACTTGCTATCCAGCTTGTAGCGGTTCAGGGAGGTAACGATTTGGATACTATAAATTACTTCACAACCAGCAAATTTCACAATAGGGCTGCACCAAAGGCTTCTGCGGGCCGAATGTGGCTTGCGTGCCATATGTTGTGCAGGCTTGACTTAGGAGAACCCTTTTCTTCGAAATCCCCACTGGGGCATGAAATCACTGGGTGGGCTCAATGATCCAGTTAAACTCTTTCAATTTATGCACCTCATGTTTGTCAGGGGTTCCAAAAAAAGCAGCTTGGGTTCTCCCTTCCCCTGGAATCTGCATCCTCCTGATCCTGAACAGTTGGATCTGAGACATGCACTTTTTGAAGCAGCTGCACCTCTCTGCTCTTCCCCTGCCTCTGTGCTTCTTAAATCAAGCACACTGGAAATCTGTATCTCTCCCAAGAGCCCTTGGAGGTTCACTGTTTATTATTGTTCCAAATTATTTACAGTTACTCACACTCAGAAGAGAGCAATGGCCAATCTCGATAAAATAGTGAAGAGTAGAGACATCACACTAGCAACCAAGATCCGCAATGGTATTCCCCATAGTGACCTATGGGTGTGAGAGCTGGACCATAGGGAAGGCTGAGCGAAGGAAGAGAGATGCTTTTGAACTGGTGTTGGAGGAAAGTTCTGAGAGTGCCTTGGCCCGCGAGAAGATCCACCAGTCCATACTTCATACTCCAATGAGCAGTCAGGAAATAAAGCCTGACTGCTCATTGGAGGGAAGAATAGTAGAGGCCAAGATGAAGCTCTTTGGCCACATCATGAGAAGAAAGGAAAGCTTAGAGAAGACAACGATGCTGGGGAAAATGGAAGGAAAAAGGAAGAAGAGCCAACCAAGGGCAAGGTGGATGGATGGCATCCTTGAAATGACTGGCTTGACCTTGAAGGAGCTGGGGGTGGTTACGGCCGACAGGGAGCTCTGGCGTGGGCTGGTCCAGGTCACGAAGAGTCGGAAGCGACTGAACGAATAAACAACGAAGTCACTCATGGTCATGGTGGGAGAGATCAAGTGCACAGTCAAGCCTTTTATCTTTTTGTCATGCATGTTTATCTCTGTGTTGACACCCCTGACATTACATCCGTCTCACTTGGCCAGAGGTGTCATTCTGGTCCGGCCTCTCTAAGCACCGAGTGATTTTAAGCCCCCATTTACACATGCTACCAGGCACATGTCTTGGGAATGATTTTTTCCTGACATATAGCTCCAACAATCAATTAATATTCATTGTGAGGGGTGTATAATGTATTTTATTCATAGTCAGATATAAGTATACACCCACATTATATACTTGGTCTGTGAGTCTTTTCAGGGTCTACCACAAAATGGTTTTTCATGAGAGGGTTGTGTGTTGTGATTAGGGGCAAATCTCACCAACGGCCAAAGAGGGACTTGGTTTAGTACTCACACTAACCTCTGGATAAGTCCAGCCAGAGGCTTTGGGCTCAAATTTGACTAAAATTTCTAGACTTATACATGAGTATACGCCAGGCATGGGCAAACTTGTCAGAAAATTCGGCCTCAGTGCAACTGCAATGAGGCACGCAAGGAAAACCGAGTGCATAGTCCTTTATCAACTTCAAATCCTTGAAATGGTACTTTATTTAGTTACTTCCTAAAAGCTACAGAAAATAACAAACATAACTATGTACAGCTGCGCCTGTACCTTGGGAAGTCAGATCTGGCTACGGTGGTCCACGCTCTGGTCACATCCCGAATAGATTACTGCAATGCGCTCTACATGGGGTTGCCTTTGAAGACTGTTCAGAAACTGCAATTAGTCCAACGGGCAGCAGCTAGATTACTCACCGGAGCGTCATACAGGGAGCATACCACCCCCCTGCTGTGCCAGCTCCACTGGCTGCCGATCCAATTCTGAGCACAATTCAAACCGCATTGAGTCGCCTGTTAAGGGCTGAAAAATGCGGTATAGAAATAAAGCAAATAAATATAGAAATAAAGCAAATAAAGTGCTGGTCTTGACCTATAAAACCCTATACGGCTCCGGTCCAGTGTACCTGTCCAAACGTATCTCCTTCTACGTCCCACCTCAGAGCTTAAGATCATCTGGGGAGGCCCTGCTCTCGGCCCCGCCTTTGTCTCAAACATGCTTGGTGGGGACGAGGGACAGGGCCTTCTCGGTGGTGGCCCCCCGCCTGTGGAATTTGCTCCCCGGGGAAATTAGGTCATCATCATCCTTCCTCACCTTTAGAAAAAAGGTTAAAACGTGGCTGTGGAACCAGGCCTTCGGGCAATCAGGTTAAAGGACAATTGATAATGTTTGACTATGGCATGGAAGAGGATTTGGATAAGTTAAGCAGAGTAATCATTAGTAGATGGCTAGCTAAACAGCCTCCGGACGGGCAATAGCTAATCAGAGTGTAAGTATACTGTTTTAATCTTTATTTATTAATGTTCATGTTTAATTGTTATATTTGTTATTCTGTATTTTGTGATGTGGCATTGAATTATTGCCAATTGGAAGCCGCCTTGAGTCCCCCCACGGGTTGAGAAGGGTGGGGCAAAAATGTTCGAAATAAATAAAATAAATACAGAAGAAATCATACACTCGTCCTGCTCGTTCCCAGGCATGGCTGGAAGAGAACACCCAGCAGCCTGTTATCTCAAATCCACATCATTGGAATGTGTGACTTATACCGCAACTGTTCACAGTTCACGCTCTAGGCAATAAATCGCATCTATGCCTTTAACCCCTGCACAGCATGCCGTTCCCTATTGGACACAGACAGAGTTCAAAACCTAAAAACTATATTTCACCCTAGTAAAACCATTATACTGACAAAACTTTCTAACCTGGGGACCGCATAGTGGGCCGGAGCGAGGTGGACAGGCCGGGAGGAAGGGAGGGGATTCTCCACGAGTCCCGCCCCTACCCTTTCCTTCCCTTCTTCTTCTCTTTCGGAGGCAGAAAGTGAAGGAAAGACGGGAACCATTTGGATCCCAAAAAGGTTGGCCTTGGTCAGGATGAAATGGTAGACGGGAGAGAAAAAGTGTATCAATTGGACCCGATATAGAATCCCAGAGCTGGATGAGACCCGCAAGGGCCATCCAGTCCAACCCCCTGCCATGCACGAAGGCACAATCAAAGCACTCCCAATAGATGGCCTCTGAGGAAGAGCTTCCAGAGAGAGACTCCGCCACACTCCCAGGCGGCCTATGCCCCTCTCCAACAGCTCTTACTCTCAGGAAGTTCTTCCTAATCTCTTCAGTCTAATCTCTTTCCTTGCCACTATTGCTCCCTTGTGTCCTGGTCTCTAGAGCAGCAGAAAGTCAGCCCTCCTCCTCCTCCTCCTCCTCCATGGGACACCCTTTGCAATCTTGAAACGTCCTCTCGTATTCCCTCTCAGCTTTCTCTTCTCCCAGCTAAACATCCCCCAAGAGGAAAGGAAGAAGGAAAAAGAGAAGGAAGGGTGGAAGAAAATGGAGAGAGGGAGGGAGGGAGGAAAGAGGGTAAAAAAAGGAAGGGTGAGAGGATGGAAGGGGAAGGAGGGAAGGAGGGAGGGAGGAAGAGGGAGGTAAGGAAAGAAGGGAGGGAAGGAGGAAGGAAAGATAGCGTGGTGAGAGAGAGGAGGGCCTGAGAAAAGATCCCAAGAAGCCACATCTGGACCCCGGGCCTGGGTTTGCCCATACCTGGTATACACAGTAAGTAAATGATAGTTTGAGAAATTCGGAGAAAATTCACCTTGGAGTTCAAGGTTGCTTCTTGCAAGCTTTCAATAACTTCCCATCAACTTCTACAGTTTAATTTTAGTCATGGACGAGGGTTGCAAAGAATAAATGAAATATGCACTTTTGGATAAAATGTATTTTATTAGTGTTGTCCCCACTGAACTACATTAAAACAGCAAGCGATAATCATATCCACGGAGGGAATGGGACAGTACATTACACTATTAAGTAAAACTTGGTAAGTAATCCCACCCATTAACTTTACACACTATGTGGGAGTTTGACAATAATTAACAGCAATATGTAACTTATCTTGATGAACGCATTACTTCACATTTATCTGGGGACAGATACATTTTGTTCTCCTGGAATTTTCTTTAAGTTTTAAACAAGCAATATAAAAAAATGAAAGCTACAGACATTCCTATCGAACTTTGGGGAAAATACGTACATCTATTTAAAATCATTACCTAATGCCAACTCTAAAGCAATAGTATTAGTATTTCTTAAAGGTATAAAATCTTTCAAATATTTTCCACAGTATAGAATCTGGAATCATTTATTTATTTTCTTTCTTTTTTTTTTTTTAAGTTTTACTAAAACTTCTCCTGGGTCTTCAGGATTGATTGATTTCGGCTCGCCTTCACCTGGGATGTCTCTTCGGACATCTACCCGCTTTCATCCAAGTGACTCAAGAGTTGTAAAATTTTCTCTTCAGACATCTGCTCACCATCATCCAGGTGACTCAAGGGTGGTAGAGACTTCTCTCCAGACATCTGCTTCCTTTCATCCAGGTGACTCAAGAGTTGTAGAATTTTCTCTTCAGACATCTGCTCGCTTTCATCCAGGTGACTCAAGGGTGGTAGAGACTTCTCTTCAGACATCTGCTCGCCTTCATCCAGGTGACTCAAGAGTTGTAGAATCTTCTCTTCGGACATCTGCTCGCTTTCATCCAGGCGCGTCAAGGGTTGTAGAGACTTCTCTTTGGACATCTGCTCACCATCATCCAGGTGACTCAAAGGATGTAGAGACTTCTCTTTGGACATCTGCTCACCATCATCCAGGTGCCTCAAGGGTTGTAGAGACTCCTCTTCAGACATCTGCTCGCTTTCATCCATGTGACTTAAGGGTTGTAGAGACTTCTCTTTGGGCATCTGCTCACCGTCCTCCAGGTGCCTCAAGGGTTGTAGAGACTCCTCTTCGGACATCTGCTCGCTTTCATCCTGGTGACTCAAGGGTTGTAGAGGCTTCTCTTCAGGCATCTGCACAGAGTGAGGGCTCTCATCTTTCTCAAGATTTTCCTTAACAATGGAACTCTTTTGGTATTCGTATTTGCACATCTTTGCCCTGAGGTGGTTTTGTCGGTGTCTTGTAAGATTCACTTCCTTCCAGAAACATTTTCCACACTCAGAGCAACGATGGGTTTTCTCCTGGTCATATATGCCCAGCTGCTTTAGTAGATACGATTTCCCTTCGATGAGTTTTTCAGACCTGGAACCTTTGTGGGGTTCCTTCTCATCAGCTGACCCCCTTTGCATAAGTGGCTGTTGTGTTCTTTTATGACTCTTCATTGCATGTCGATAAAGTCCTGAATGCCACATGAATCTTTCCCCACATTCAGAGCATTGATATGGTTTATCTCCAGAGTGGAGGCGGCTGTGCATTTTTAGTTTTGCAACTTTGTTGTAGCTTTTCCCACACTCGTCACATGCATATTTTGCCTCCTGCTTATCGGCGCCTCCTGCTTTCCCAGTATTGGACTCTTCGGACGTCTCTTCACTATTAGCAGACGGATCGGATTTCTCTCTGGCGTGGGTTTTTTGGTGTTTTTTCAGTTGTGATGGATAATCAAAGCTTTTCCCACACTCTGAACAGGCATGGGGCTTATTTCCAGTATGAGCCTTCATTCTGTGGCTCTCAAGCGATGACCTCAACGCAAAACACTCCTCACAGTCAGGGCACTGAAAGGGCATATTTCCGCTGTGGACACACAGGTGTCGCCGCAGTTGCGAGGCCCACTCAAAACTCTTCTTGCATTTAGAACACGTGTGGGCTTCCTTCTTCCCATTAGGGCTCCTTAGAAGGGACAGCTCTGCTTTCTTTCTCTCATCGCCCTTTCTCAGAGACGAAAGCGATATCAAACTCTCCTCAGAGTCGGTGTGTTTATATGGTTTCTCTTTGATGCACCCCTCTGGATTTCTTGTTATGCGTTTTCCCTGGTTGGTTTTTTTCTCCAGCTCAGACCATAGAAGGAATTCTCCTGGAAGGAGAGCTATTCTTTGCAAAACAGGGACCAGTTTCTTCCCCTTATGGAAGTTCTTTCTATGCAAACCAAAGGACCGATTCCACATGAATTGCTCCCCGCAATCAGTACATTGATAGGGTTTCTCGCCCGTGTGGATGCGTTGGTGCTTTTTTAGGTCAGATGCCTGATTGAAGTTTTTTCCGCATGTGGGACATGTAGTGGAATTAAGTGACGAACCCCCATCTCCAGGGTCGACATCTTGATCGGGTTTTTGTCTGAGGTGGACCTGCTGGTGCTGGGCCAGATAGGTTGGCCCACTGAATGCCCTCCCACACTCAGGACACTCACAAGATTTCGACTTCTTAGCAGATACTTTTGTTTGATCATGGATATTCCTTCTGTGAGCGTTAAGTGACGAGCTCCACATGAATCGCTCCCCACAGTCAGTGCACTGATGGGGTTGCTCGCCTGTGTGGAGGCGTTGGTGCTTACTTATGTTGGATGCCTGAGTGAACTTCTTCCCGCATATGTTACATGCAAAGGATTTCTTGCCCTTGTGGCTCACTTTGGAGAAAGGAGGAACCGGTTTCTTCCCATCATGGGCCTTCGTACTGTGCAAATCAAGTGATGAACCCCCCGTGAGACTTTCTCCAGGGTCGTCATCTTGATCGGGTTTCTCTCTGGTGTGGACACGCTGGTGCTGGGCCAGATAGGTTGGCCCGCTGAATGTCTTCCCACACTCAGAACACACACAGGATTTGCCCTTATTAGACATTTTATTTTGTTTATGGAACTTCTTTCTGTGAACATCAAGTGATGAACTCCAAAGGAACTTTTCTCCACAGTCAGTGCACTGATAGGGTCTCTCTCCCGTATGGATGAATTGGTGCTTCTTTAAGCGTGAGGGCCGGTCAAACTTTCTTCCACACTCTAAGCACATGTGCCGCTTGAGCGGATCATCTGATAGGTTTTTCAGAAGACGTCCTTGTTTCTTTTTCTCATGGTTTGGTTTTTGACTTTCGAAGGACAAACTCAACATGAAACTCTCCCCAATATCAACAGACCCACTCGGTCTTTCTCCAGTGTGGACACGCCCATCCTGACTTATATGTGATTGGAGAAGAGGTGCCGAGTTCTTTCCCTTATGGATCTTCTTTTTATGTTCTTCAAGTGTCAAACTGTCCATGAACCTCTCTTTGCAGAAAGTGCATTGATGGGTTTTTTCTCCCTTGTGGATATCTTTAACTTTCCCTGGGCTAGGGAAGGAATTTTTTCTCACTTCTTTTTGGATACTTATATCTGAAAGCAGAGCGCCGGTGTTGGTCTTTTTACTACAATGCATCTTCCGATGTTTATTACACGATGTCATCCATACAAAACGTTTTCCACAGTCGGTGCATTCAAAGGGCTTGTCCAGAGAGTGTGTTTCCGGATGCTTTCTCAGGTCTGTCTCTTGACTGGAATTTTTTCCATGCTCAGAATGATTTTGTCCTCTGTGGATTCTCTGGTGTGCATCAAGATCCAAGGCGCTGTTGAAGCTTGCCTCACAAATACCGCACAAATACACCGTTATTTCAGGGGGCGGCAGAGATAATTTGCTGTCCCCGTGGTTTTTCTGATGTGAAGATTTTGTCATGAAGCTGACTCCAGAACCAATATTCGGTTTAGCTCCTCTATGAGCCTTCTGGTGCTTTTTGAGGTTCTTCTTGTTATTGAAAACCTTCTCACACACCAAACATTTGAGGAGCTTCCCTGATGAACTAGACTGCTGAAGGGGCACTGAGCCTTTCTGACACTGGGAGCATCTGTACAGTTTCCCCCTTTTGTGGGCTCTTTTATACAAGTGAAGTGGCAAGTTGTGAGTCTTCCCACATACATAACAACAGCTCTGTCTCTTGGGTGTTTGCTGATTGACTCCAGCTTGGTTAGCTTTCATGCTGCCCTTCTTGCTTTCCTCTCCATCCCAGCTCTGAGAGACTTCTTCCTGGGGAGAAAACCCATCGCCTTTTTCTGGAGACACACCTTGCAACTCCATTTGTTTCGAAATCCCACCATCTGTAGAAAATAATTTCCCAATTTAGTATTTGCCTTGGTCAAGCAAGTAAGTTTACCTATACCAACAGACAATTTGGGAGTAAGTCAGGGGAAAGTACATAATAATAACAAAATCCAGCATATAGATCTCGTTTGCTGTGACATACTGTGCTTTTGTGTCAATAATAATACTTTATTTATAACCTGCTGTATAAACCCGGAAATCATTGATTTTTATAGTTTTAAATTGTTTTTATATGAATTTTATTATGTGATTTAACTTGTTTTAAATTATGTATTTATGTGAGTTCGGCATCTAATTGTTGCCAGTCTGTACACCGCCCAAAGTCGCCTTGGGCTGAAAAGGGCGGGATAATAAAAGTGTGGTAAATAAATAATAAATAAATATAATTACATAACATTACCTTGACATAGCCCCTGAAAAAGGATAATTCATTTGTGCATGAGCCAAAAGCTGTTGGGCTTAAAAAAATAAATTTCACCCATCTAGAATCAGTGGCTCCCAACCTGTGGTCCACGGACCACCAGTGGTCCACTAGAACGAAAATATGGTCCACAGCCTCATCATTACTCCACCATTGCCTTGAAACCACGTAGTAATAAGAGTGACTGGCTTAGACAGAGATACCAGGCTGCTTCTGAGAAGGCGCAAGAAAACCCGAGAGGCAGGCCTCTCAAGGTCAAAGGAATGTGTTCATGTTTTGCAGTTCTTAAATTAGGGAAACAGCTGGAACTCATGTCTTGTTCCTGGTTTGTGCCTTAGTTCAAGACCCAAGATTCATGGCCAAGTTTTGCTTCTCTAAATTCATAGACAATCATGTACATAAACATATATAAAGATACATATAAGAATACTAACAGAGTTATGAACTTAATATTTATCATACACATCAATGTTTGTTGTAAATACATCTATTCAGCATCATATATTTCAACATAATTGTCTATGAATTTATTTGTAGTAAATATTGATATATATATAATTTTAGTCCACCAGAAGAAGGCCTGGAGTGAGGCCGAAACCGGTCGTGGACTACGGAATGCTATGATTTGGAACTGTAGAATAAGTTTCACCAGTCACATTATTGCCTGAATTGATTTATTTTTCTTTCTGTGTACAAGTGGGCTATTGTGTTGTATGTATTAACTCAGGAACCCATTCATATTGTGCTTTGGTTCTCTGCCATAAAGAAGGGAGGTGGGGGGGGGGGGGGGGGGGGGGGGGGGGAGAGGAGGCTGTGTACAGTTGCAGAAGGAAGTGTAGACCAGACATCTGTTTTGAAATTGAAAAGGCAGTTAGCAGACTGTGGGCACAGTGTTAACCCACTAGGAGGCGAATGGGAGCTGGGGCTGATAGGTGAGCGGGAAAACTTTAGAACTGTCTTTTTAGGATTGTGGAAAGAAGGAATAGACCACTTGTCTCCAGTGTTGTGAGCTTGATCTTAACTCTCTGACACATGGCATCTGCTATGTACATCAGGCATGGAGAAACTTTAGCCTTCTCTCCAGGTGTTTTGGACTACAACTCTCACAATTCCTAACAGCCAGTAGACTGCTAGGAATTGTGGGAGTTGAAGCTCAAAACACCTGGACGGAGGGCCAAAGTTTCCCCATGCCTGATCTAGAGGATCTCATGAATCCGACTCACGCACTATCAAAAGGGTCACTCATTTCTAGAACATATTGTTACAGCCCTTGCTTGCTCTTATTACACATTCCCATTTCAAGGAATCCTTACCCGACCAGTCAGTATCAGAGAGGTCTGTGTCTTCCTCCATCTCGGATTCCCAGGATGGCGGTAATCTCTGTCCAGCGTCCGACGGGGTTTTCTCCAGCTGTGACAAATGAGGGGATCCTTCTACTTGGGACTCGGATGTCTGCAAAAAAAGATGCAATCTCTTATTTATCTCTATCTGCTGGCTTTGAATCCTGAAGTTCAGAGAGCATTTCAAATTTGAATACTGGTGGGGTTGGGGGGAGTGATTTTGTCATTTGGGAGTTGTAGTTGCTGGGATATATAGTTCACCTACAATCAAAGAGCATTCTGAACTCCACCAACTGGAAGGGTGGTAGTCATTGACCTTGAGTTCTGGAGTTGTAGTTCACCTACATCAAGAGACCACTGTGGACTCAAGCTATGATAATATATAATAATTAGATATTTCATATTACATGTTATATTACTAATAATATTACAATATAGTGGTATAGTACAATATAATAATATATAACACTGATACTGTACTATGCTCATAATATAATATATTGTATGCATATATATCTTGTAAGCCACTCTGAGTCCCCTTCAGGGTGAGAAGGGCGGCATATAAATGTCGTAAATAAATAAATAGATAGATATAGAATCACGGTATTGCAAAAGACCCCAAAGGTCATCCAGTTCAACCTCCAACGACGCAGGAACATAGAATCAAAGCACCCTTGACAGATAGTTTGCGCCAAAGACGGAAGTAAAGCTGGGCGGAAGATGATATTCCTTCCTACCTGCTCTTCTTTCACCGCAGCCTTCCAACACACCAAGTAATCCTCTGCCAGGGAAACGGCCTGGGCACCACTCTCCAGGTGATGTTTTTTGACCCAGCCCCGGATTTCCGGGGGCAGAACGGTCAGGAACTGCTCCAGGATCAGCAGCTCCAGGATCTGCTCCTTGGAGTTTCTCTCGGCCTTCAGCCACTGCCGGCAAAACTCCTGGAGCTGGTTGTAAGCGCCCCTCGGCCCATCCGCTTGCTGGTAGCAGAAACGCCGGAAGCACTGGCGGCTCTTCTCTTGGTTCAGGGTGTCTCCTCTCAGGATGGCCGCCTTCACTTTCCGATAATCCTCTCTTTCTTCATCCTCCAGGCTGCTGAAGGCCAGCTCGGCTTCCCCCTTGAGAGTCGGGAGGAGGCGGCTTGCCCACTCTTCCTCGGGCCACTGAGAGGCTTTGGCCACTTGTTCAAAGGAGGCCAGGAAGGCCGGGGTGTCATCCCAGGGGGCCGGCTCCTGCGGAAAGTGGGGGGTTTCCGGCAGGGAAGAAGAATCCTCCACTGAAGTCAGAAACTCCTGCCATTTCGTTTCCCATTGCTGGGCCGTGGCTTCTTCAGGTTCTTCCTTCACTACGGGGCAATTTCCACAGTATTTGATAGTTCCCTCCGGACCCCCAAAATGGACTACTGTGGGGGGTTGACTGCCCCCATCTTCATCCTCAGACTGTACCATCAGCGTACCTAACAACACAAACACATTTGCTCCGTTGTTTATTTATTATTTACTTCCTTTAGGCGGTTTGCAACACCAGCACAATTCAATACTGGTAGAATCAACAGTAAAAACAATAACAAACCCCCTGGCATTGAAACGGTCAATAATTAGTCAACAAACACATTAAAACAGTAAACAGATTAAAACATATAAAGTACATAGCTTCATTCGTCCAAGATCCTTGTTCATAATCCATATTCAAACCATCTTGAAGCCCGTTGTCACTTATTCTTCAAACACTTGTGTGCAAAGCCATATCTAACTTTTTCTAAAAACTATAAGGGATGAGTCCTGCCTGATGTCACTGGGGAGGGAGTTTGACAGATGAGGGGCCACCACTGAGAAGGCTCTGTCTCTCATCCCCATCAATCACATTTGCGAAGAGGGTGAGACTGAGAGCAGAACCTCCCCAGACGATCTTAAAGTCCTCGTAGGTTCTTAAGCGGAGATACATTCAGACAGGTAAGTTTGTCCAGAACCGTTTAAGACTTTTTAGGTCAAGACCAGCACTTTAAACTGGGCTCAGTAGCAAATCGGCAGCCAGGAGAGCTGACGCAACAGCCGAGTTGGATGCTCACTGTACGCCGCTCCTGTTAGAAATCTGGCTGTCGCCTGTTGGACTAATTGAAGCTATTACACAGTGGTAGGCAAGTGTACAAATGTTGTATTCCTTGAGCTTTTTGGGGGTTTTCAAATACTGTCCTAAATCCCCTGATTCAGAAGCGTGAAGTCCAGTTCTGGTTTTGAAAAATTGTCGTGGTGGACAGACACTCTGTGAAATGTGGACAAACCAGACAAGTCAGAGGTCCTCCTGGTCAGTCGAAAGGCTAAACAGTCTGTGCTGGATGGGGCTACACTCACCCTGAAGACAAAGGCTCGCAGCTTGGGAGTCATCCTGAACTCATTGCTGAGCCTAGAACCCAGGTCTCAGCGGTGACCAGGGGAGCATTCATGCAACTAAAACCTGTGCACCAGCTGTGCCCGTGCCTTGAGAAGCCAGACTTGGCCACGGTAGCCCATCCTGTGGTTACATCCCAAATAGACTACTGCAACATGCCCTGCATGGGGTTGCCTTTGAAGACTGTTTGGAAACTTCAAATGGTCCAACAGACTGCAGCCAGGTTGCTCACTGGAACGGCATACAAGGAGCACACAAGACCCCTGTTGCATCAGCTCCACAGGCTGCCCGTCTGCTACCGAGCACAATTCAAAGTGCTGACTTTAGCCTATAAAGCTCCAAACAGTTCTGGCCCAGCTTACTTCTCCAAATGTATCTCCTGCTATGAACCACCTCAGAGGTTAAGATTGCCCAAGGAGGTCCTGCTCCCGGTTCCACCTCCTTCACAGGCACAATTGGTGGAAACAAGAGACAGGGTCTTCTCAGTGGTAGCCCCTCGGCTTTGGAACTCCTCAGTGATATTAGAGCGGCTCCCTCCATCTTGGCCTTCAGAAGGAAAGTGAAAACCTGGCTCTGGGGTCAAGGCTTTGGAGATTAACTGTAGTACAGTAACAGCTTAAAAATATTTATTTCTTTATTTATTTGAAACATTTGTATTCCACGTTTTTCACCCTGAAGGGGACTCAGGGCGGAGCACAACATAGATACAGCAAGCGTTCCATGCCAGGACATAAAATAACTATAAATATACACAAATACTAAAATAAGTTATATTTAAACATGTGCAATGATTTTGGAATGGCCCCAGATTACAATTGTGGATGGCGTGATTTCAATAGTGAATGCAATGTTTTTATATTTTTTAATCTATTTAAATTTTAAATTAAACGTATTTTAATTGTACATTGTTCAAAGGCCCTGAATAGTTGCCTATATGTAAAGCCACACTGAGTCCCTTTCAGGGTAGAGAAAGGCAGGGTATAAATAGAGTAAATAAATATATAAATGAATAAATTCTAGAAACTTTTAAAAGGGTTCCCAGTCCTTCCCAAACTCTGAAGGGTCTTTTGACTGAAGGATGACAACTGCTGCAAGAATAGTTTATGCGCAGGCTTGGAAATTGGAGGAAAAACACCAGAATTGGAAGAATGGATTGTGAAAGGACCGGAGGTGGCCGAGATGAACATTCAGACAGGATACCTTCAGTCAAAAGATATCTTCATCCTCCTCTCTATAAGCGGCTTTCCTCCTCTCCATTGTCACCAGATGACCGACCTCCTGTACAATCTGATTTTAATTTTAAAAAAATATGTATGCCACAATATATATTTATACACTGCACAGGACGCCCCTAGAACTATAAGAAATGCAGAAAAGTCACTGTTAAAATTCATTCTCAAATTGCTTTAAAAACCAAATTGCCCCACGTTGGGAACCAGGGACCTAGAATCTTAGAAAGAACATTTTTAATGGAATCTGAAAATAATCACATCTGGAAGGTCGACTGTATTATGATTTTGCCCACATTCAACAGGTAAAGATTTTACCTCTTGACCAAAGACCTATCTGGTGAAAATATTACCTCTTATCGTTGGATCTGTCATGCACTCAGTACAAGGGCCCTTACAAGGCGATGTCAGGGACCCACATTTTCCATTCAGCGCAGCCTTTCCAATTGAGATGCCACCGCAGGTAGAAAAATGGCTGTTACCTTTTCTCACCTAGAAATTTCCGATAGTGAAAAAAGTTAGATGATTAAAGCTACATGAATTGTTTTCAGTGTTAGCCACTTTTAGAGAGAAAAGGCAGAAAATAAGAATAATAAAAATATTAATATACTGTATTGTTTGTAGTGCTTGTTACATTAGGTCTCTTTTTAGAGAGAGAAAAGAAGAATAGAAATATAAAAATACAATAACAACAATCATAGTATATTATATTGTTTTCAGTGTTGCCACTTTTAGGTCCTTTTAGAGCAGTGGTTCTCAACCTGGGGTCCCCAGATGTTTTTGGCCAACAACTCCCAGAAATCCCAGCCAGTTTACCAGCTGTTAGGATTTCTGGGAGATGAAGGCCAAAAACATCTGGGGACCCCAGGTTGAGAACCACTGTTTTAGAGAGAGAAGTCAGAAAATAATAGCAATAACAATAATAATATACTGTGTGGTACGCTGCTCGAGTTCCCTCAGGGAGATGGCACAGTATACAAATAAAGTTTTTATTATTATTTTATTAGGTCTCTTTTTGGAAAGAGAAAAAGCAGAATACAATATAAAACTGATATAACAAGAATAGTGGTATATTGTATTGTTTTTAGTGTTAGCCACTTTTAGGTCCTTTTAGAGAGAAAAGGCGGGGGGGGGGGAATTTATTTATTTATTTACGATATTTCTACCCCGCTCTTCTCGAAACCGAAGGTGACTCATAATAATATATTAATATACTGTGTTGTTTTTATTTTTAGTTATTTTAGCTCTCTTCCTAGAGAGAGAAAAGCAAAATGCAAATATAATACAATAACAACAGTATATTGCTATTATTATTATTACACTGTGTTGATTTTAGTGTTAGTTACTTTAGATCTTTTTTTTGGAGAAGAAAAAAGCAGAATATAGATGATAATAATATTAATAATATAACAAGAACAATGGTATTGATATGTGATTATTGCCTGGGTTATATTTACTGTATTTATTTGTTTGTTGTAAGCTGCCCTGAGTCCCTTCAAGGAGAGGGGGCGAGATACAAATAAAGCCTATTATATTATTATTATTATTATTATTATTATTATTCAATAACAACAATGCTAGGTAAAGATTTCCTCTTGATATTAAGTCTAGTCATTTCCAACGCTGGGGGGTGGTGCTCATCTCCATATCTAAGCTGAAGTGTCGGCGTTATCCAGAGACGTCTTCAAGGTCATGTGACCGGTATGATTACATGGAGCGCTTTCCCACCAAAGTGACACCTATTGATCTATCAACATTTGCATGTTTTCAAACTGCTACGCTGTCAGAAGCTGGGCCTAACAGCGGGAGTTCATCATGCTCCCTGGATTCGAACCGCTGACCTTTCTGTCAGCAAGTTCAGCAAATCTGCGGTTTAACCCACTGCACCACCAGGGGATTTAAACAACAATGGCATAGTGTTTATTATTATTCCTATACTGTGTTGTTTCTAGTGTTAGTTAGTTTACATTTCTTTTTAGAGAGAAATAAAGTAGAATACAATTATATACAATAACAAAACAACAATAATGGTTTATTATACTATGTTGTTTTTAGTGTTAGTTACTTTAAGGACTCTTTGTAAAGAGAGAAAAAGCAAAACACAAATATAATAATAATAATAATAATAATAATAATAATAATAATACAATTGTTTTTGGTGTTGTTAGTCACTTTTGGGTCCCTTTACCACAGGGCCCCTCAAACTAAGGCCCGGGGGCTAGATGCGGCCCTCCAAGGTCATTTACTCGGCCCTCGCTCAGGGTCAACCTATGTCTGAAACTACTTGAAAGCACACAACAACAACAATCTTATCTCATCAGCCAAAAGTAGGCCCACACTTCCCACTGAAATACTAATAAGTTTATATTTGTTAAAATTGTTCTTGATTTTTGTTTTTGGTGTTGTTGGTCAGTTTTAGGTTCCTTTTAGAAGAAAAAGCAGAAAATAACAACATCAACAATAAACTATGTTGTTTAGTGTTACTTTAAGGTTCTCTTTGTAAAGAGAGAAACAGCAGAATACAAATATACTAATAACAGAATAATAATAATAATAATAATAATCATGGTATATTGTTTTATTATTGTACTGTGTTGTTATTCGTGTTAATTACTTTAAGGTCTCTTTGTAGAAAGAGAAAAAGCAGAACACAAACAGAATAATACAACAACAACAATAATCATCATGGTATATTGTCTTTGGTGTTAGCCACTTTTGGGTTCCTTTTAGAAGAAAAGGCAGGAAAGAATAATAGTAATATATAATGTGTTGTTTTTAGTAGTAGTTACTTTAGGTCTCTTTTTAGAGAGAGAAAACACAGAAGGCAAATATAATAATAATAATAATAATAGTAAAACAACAACAACAACAACAACAACATCATAATAATAATAATAATAATAATAATAATAATAATAATAATAATAATAATAATAAATCACACAGTCCTAGATGCTTGGGAAGTGTTCAACTTGTGATTTTGTGATACGAAATCCAGCATATAGATCTCGTTTGCTGTGACATACTGTTTTTTTGTGTCAGTAAAATAATAATAATAATAATAATAATAATAATAATAATAATAATTTGCCAATACATCACACAGTTCTAGACGCTTGGGAAGTGTTCGACTTGTGATTCTGTGATACAAAATCCAGCATATAGATCTCATGTGCTGTGACATACTGTGGCTCTGCATCAGTAAAATAATGTTATATTATTATTTTTATACAGTGTTGTTTTTAGCATGAGTTACTTTAGGTCTCTTTTTAGAGAGAGAAAAAGAAAATATTATAATAATAGCAACAACAATATTTTCTGGTCCCAATTCAAGGTGCAGGTTATCACCTATAAAGCCCTAGACAGTTTGGGACCCGCCTACCTTCATGACCTTATCTCCCTCCATGAAGCATGGTTTTTGAGTTATATTAATCCCATAAACGAACATTACATTTTTATTTATATAAGACTAGCTGTCCCCAGCCACACGTTGCTGTGGCCCAGTCTGTTGTTCTGGAAAATAAAGTAATGAGAAAGTGTTGGTTTCTAGTATATGAAATTTCTTTATGCTTGTGGGTAAACAGTATTTCTTGCTGTTTCTTTGTCAGCGTTGACGTGGAGAGTGTCTGGTTTGCCCACCCTTGAACATGCAACATATCATTGTCCTTCTTTAAGAATCCTTTTCAAATCTATGATACTATATCTGTGTGTGTGTGTGAATCATATATAACTATATCTATGGCTAGATGGCTCTTTGTCAGGAGAGCTTTGTTTACGTTTTCTCGCTCTGGTGAAGGGAGTTGGAGTGGATGGCCTTAAGTGTTTTCTGTTAGTCATGGGGGTTCTGTGTGGGAAGTTTAGCCCAATTCTATTGCTGGTGGGATTCAGAATGCTCTTTGATTGTATGTGAACTGTGAATCCCAGTGACTACAACTCCCAAATGTCAAGGTCTATTTCCCCCAAACTCCATCTGTGTTCATATTTGGGCGTATTGAGTGCTTGTGCCAAGTTTGGTCCAGATCCATCATTGTTTGAGTCCACAGTGCTCTCTGGATATAGGTGAACTACAACTCCAAAACCCTTCCAGTATTTTCTGTTGGTCATGGGATTTGTGTGTGCCAAGTTTGGTTCAATTCCATCGTTGATGGGAGTTCAGAATGTTCTTTGATTGTAGGTGAACTATAAATCCCAGCAACTACAACTCCCAAATGACAAAATCATAATTTTTGAGTGATGGTCACTCCTTGTGTTGTGAGATGTTTTGTTGCCAAATTTGATGTGGTTTTGTTCATTGGTTATTTTGTTTTTAAGGTACTCATTATGCACAGAGCATTTAGACAGATAAATAGATAGTTTTCAGGTTTAGCCAATTTTGCGGTCTTTTTTAGAGAGAAAATATATATAAAGGCCTATAAAGCCCTAAACGGTTCTGGCCCAGCCTACCTATCCGAACGCATTTCTTCCTACGAACCCTCCAGGAAGTTAAGATCATCTGAGGAGGCCCTGCTCTCAATCCCATCTGCTTCGCAAGCACGCTTGGCGGGGACGAGAGACAGGGCCTTCTCTGTGGTGGCCCCTCGGCTGTGGAACTCCCTGCCTAGGGATATTAGATCAGCCCCCTCCCTCCTGACCTTTCGTAAGAGAGTGAAAACCTGGCTCTTCGAGTAGGCATTCGGAACCCTGGAATAGATAGTCAAGCTTGAGATGGAGAATGACCCAGGAACGGCCAAGACGATGAAACGGATGAGGATTGGAATGAGAGGATATAGCTCTTTTTACATTGTTATTGCACTGTCTTTTTTGTCTAAATGCACTTAATTTGTTTTTGCTTTTGTATTGTATTGATGGCATCGAATTGTGCCGATATGTAGACCGCCCCGAGTCGCCTGCGGGCTGATATGGGTGGGATATAAGTGATGTAAATAAATAAAATAATAAATAAATACAGATAATAATAAGTTTTTGTGAGGAAAAAAAGCAAAAAAAAAATGGTCATAATGATGATGATCCTTTGTTTTTTAAAAGAAGGAACACTCCAAGGCGGCTTGGCCAGCTCTTTCCTCTGGAAAGGAGCCTTCAATGCCTGGTCTCCCATTCAAATATTAACCAGGGCAGGCCCTGCTTAGCCCACAAGGTCAAGCCCAACCAGGGGCCTCCCTTGAAGATAGTTTCCCAGGCAATATCTTTAGGATCTGCGCCTGGATGGGACAAAATTTGGAGAGAGGTTGTTTTGCGCGCGTAATGGCTGCCAAGCAGCTCAGGAGAGGCCTGCTTGCATCCGGGTCAGAAAGCCTTCCTGGGAACGGAACTAAACGGTTTTTCCAGACCTCGTGCAGCAGGGGAGAGGCCCACCCGTGCCTTCCCTCTCTCTTTTCCCATTTCCCCCGCTCAAACGGGCCTTTCCTCGGCCTTGGGACCAACTCACCCGCTCCTCCATCGTGGCCGCCCTCTTCCCTCAATGGCGCACAAAAGCCAGACTCCCTTCCGGAAACCTGGCCTGAAGGGAGGGAAGGAAGGAGCATTCGAACGCCAAACAGGAAGTGCGGAAGCGGAAGGAAGCTCCCTTCCTCCCCCCTCTCCAACTCTATGGCCTTTTCCTACAACTCTATGGTCTTTGAAGTGCTTTGGAGGTTTCAGGCGCCAGAAAGGCCCTTCCTTTCCTAGGCCGCATCACCTAACAATATCATACAACAATATCATATCATACGAAAGCTGACTGGCACAACCTGGGGATCACAACCAGATACAGTGAGAAGGAGTCTTCTGGCTCCTTCTGACTCCACATGGACACCTAGCATGCGATTACCAGTTGCATGCCAGCAACTACAGTGGATGAGGCTATTAATGAGACATGCCGCATTATCACGGGGTGTCTGTGCCCTACACCACTGGAGAAATTACACTGTTTAGCCAGTATTGCACCACCTGACATCCGCCGGGAAGTAGCAGCCAATAGTGAAAGGACCAAGGCAGAGACATCTCCAGCTCATCCCCTGTTTGGGTATCAGCCAGCATGCCAACGACTTAAATCTAGAAATAGTTTTCTAAGATCTACAGAGACACTCGCTGGAACACCTCAGCAAGCAAGAGTCCAAAAGTGGCAGGCTCAAACCCAGAACCTCAACCAATGGCTGATACCAAATGAGAGACTCCCCCCGGGCACACAGAGGACTGGGCGACCTGGAAGGCGCTGAACAGACTGCGCTCTGGCACCACGAGATGCAGAGCCAACCTTCAGAAATGGGGCCACAAAGTAGAATCCTCGACGTGAGAGTGTGGAGAAGAGCAAACGACTGACCACCTGCTGCAATGCAACCTGAGCCCTGCCACATGCACAATGGAGGACCTTCTTGCAGCAACACCAGAAGCACTCCAAGTGGCCAGATACTGGTCAAAGGACATTTAACCAGCTACCAAACTCACAAGTTGTGTATTTTTCTGTTTGTTTGCTTTGTCCTGTTAGAAATGTAATATAATTGACTGGCTGCTCTGACAAGACAAATAAATAAATAAATAAATAAATAAATAAATATCAGCTAATTGGCTGGGGAATACTGGGAGTTGTAGTTTGGTGAGGGCCTAGTACAAGGTAGGCAAACTTGGGCCCTCTGGGTGTTTTGGACTCCCAACTCCCACCATTCCTCACAGCTTCAGGCCTCTTTCCTTCCCCCCCTCAGCCACTTACAGCTTCAGGCCTCTTTGGGCCCTCTGGGTGTTTTGGACTCCAACTCCCACCATTCCTCACAGCTTCAGGCCTCTTTTCTTCAGGAAAAGAAAGAGGCCTGAAGCTGTGAGGAATGGTGGGAGTTAGAGTCCAAAACACTCAGAGGGTCCAGGTTTGCCCATCCCTGCCGTGGTACTTTTCAGCAGCAAAAAACCACCTAATTATTGGGTTGCTTTGAGTTTGGCTATGTTCCAGAAGCATTCTCTCCTGCCATTTCGCCCACATCGATGGCAGGTATCCTCAGAGGCTGAAAACTAGGGAAAATGGGGTTTATATACCTGTGGAATAATGTCCAGGGAGGGAGAAAGGACTCTTGTCTGCTCATGGCAAGTGTGAATGTTTTATTCAATAGCCTTGCAGCTTCAAAGCCTGGCTGCTTCCTGCCAGGGGGAGATCCTTTTGTTGGAAGGTGTTAGCTGTCCCTGATTGTTTCCTGTCGGGAATTCCCCTGTTTTCTGAGTGTTGTTCTTTGTCCTGATTTTAGAGCAGTGTTTCTCAACCATGAAAACTCAGCGGATGACCCAAAATGCAGACTGTGTAAGGAAGCTGATGAAACCATGGAACATCTCCTCAGCTGCTGAAAGGAAATCGCATAGACGGACTACAAACAGAGGCACAACTCTGTGGCCCAAATGATTCATTGGAACTTATGTCACAAGTACCACCTGCCAGCAGCAAAGAACTGATGGGATCATAAACCTGCAAAGGTAGTGGAAAATGAACACGCACAAATACTGTGGGACTTTCGGATCCAGACTGACAAAGTTTTGGAACACAATACACCAGACATCACGATTGTGGAAAAGAAAAAAGTTTGGATTATTGATGTCGCCATACCAGGTGACAGTCGCATTGAAGAAAAACAACAGGAAAAACTGCATTATCAGGACCTCAAAATTGAAATGCAAAGGCTCTGGCATAAACCAGCACAGGTGGTCCCAGTGGTCATCAGCACACTGGGTGCGGTGCCAAAAGATCTCAGCCGGCATTTGGAAACAATAAACATTGACAAAAACTGCAAAAGGCCACCTTACTAGAATCTGTGCGCATCATTCAAAAATACATCACAGTCCTAGACTCTTGGGAAGTGTTCAACTTGTGATTTTGTAATATGAAATCCAGCATACAGATCTTGTTTGCTGTGTCATACTGTATTTTTGTGTCAGAATAATAATAATAATACTCTGGGACTTCGGAATTCAGACTGACAGTTTTGGAGCCGATACAATACCCAATACAATACCCCAGATCTTACGATCATGGGAAAAAAACAAGTATGGATCGTCAATGTTGCAATCCCAGGCGAAAGAAGGATTTACAAGAAGCAACTGGAAAAGTGGTTTGTGTAGGTTTTCCGGGCTATATGGCCATGCTCTAGAGGCATTCTCTCCTGACATTTCGCCTGCATCTATGGCAAGCATCCTCAGAGGTAGTGAGGTCTGTTCGAAGTAGGAAAATGGGTTTATATATCTGTGGAAAGACCAGGGTGGGACAAAGGACTTTTGTCTGCTGGAGCTAGGTGTGAATGTTTCAACTGACCACCTTGATTAGCATTTAATGGCTTGGAAGTGCCTGGGGGAATCTTTCTTTGAGAGGTGATTTGATGTGCCTGATTGTTTACTCTCTGTTGTTTTGCTGTTGTAAGTTTTGAGTTTTTTTCATACTGGTAGCCAAATTTTGTTCATTTTCATGGTTTCCTCCTTTCTGTTGAAATTGTCCAAATGCTTCTTGTGGATTTCAATGGCTTCTCTGTGTAGTCTGACATGGTGGTTGTTGGTGTGGTCCAGCATTTCTGTGTTCTCAAATAATATGCTGTGTCCAGGTTGGTTTATCAGGTGCTCTGCTATGGCTGACTTCTCTGGTTGGAGTAGTCTGCATGCCTTTCACTGATTCAAATCAAATCATTTATTTCGGTCATTGACCAGCACAGTTTCATTGATGCGTGTTTGGGCATTGCTGCGTTTGGTGGTCCCTATGTAGACTTGTCCACAGCTGCATGGTATACGATAGACTCCTGCAGAGGTGAGAGGATCCTTCTTGTCCTTTGCTGAACGTAGCATTTGTTGGATTTTCTTGGTGGGTTTGTAGATTGTTTGTGTGTTGTGTTTCCTCATCAGCTTCCCTATGCGGTCAGTGGTTCCCTTGATGTATGGCAAGAACACTTTTCCTCTGGGTGGATCTTGGTCTTGACTCTCGTGGCTTGTTCTCGGTCTTGCAGCTCTTCTGATGTCTGAGGTGGAGTCTCCATTCACCTGTAGAGCCCAGTTTAGGTGGTTCATTTCATCTTGGAGGAGGTGGGGTTCGCAGATTCTTTTTGCATGGTCTGCCAAGGCTTTAATGGTGCTTCTTTTTTTCGACAATACATTCAACTGGAAAAGCTTACACAATATAGTGATTTAAAGATCGAACTGCAAAGACTGGCACAAGCCAATCAAGGTAATCCCAGTGGTGATCGGCACACTGGGTGCAGTGCCTGAAGACTTTTTTTTAATATAGTTTTTATTAAATTATAGTAAAAGACTTTAGCCTGCACTTAAAAACAATTGGAGCTGACAAAATTATCATCTGTCAGCTGCAAAAGGCCACCCTACTCGGATCTACATGCATTATTCGCCGATACATCACACAGTCCTAGACACTTGGAAATGCCTGACGTGTGATCCAATACAACAACCAGCAGAGTGACCTTGTTTGCTGTGTACTAATCTTGTTGTGTATCAAATAATAATAATAATAATAATAATAATAATAATAATAATAATAATAATGATGCTTATTTATATTCCGCTTTATCTCTTCTGAAGGAGACTCAAAGCGGCAAATTGAACTAACTGCTTCCTGGTCTCATTTCTGGAGAAGTAGAAAACAAACACAAACAGAGGAAAATGAGACAATTTCATGTCGAATTATACTTTCTTTAAAAAAAGAGAGAGAGAGAGAGAGAGAGAAAGGGCAGAAAATACATTGAGACCTCAATTTTCCAATGAGATATATATATGCATATACATATATATTGGTTGTCATAGAGTAAGAGATCGTTTAGTACAAGACCAACTAAGTGAGCTTTTACTGCTGGGAGAAAACAAGTGAGGAACAAGGAAGAAAACGAAAGAAAGAGGGAGCAAGTGCTTCGAAATGCAATATATAAATATCATCTACGTGGGTTTTACATACAGATAGAGCTACTTCGGAATGCGGCGGAAGGGAAATAAGCCAAAGTTCTTATACAAAAACAAGCCCAAAATTCAGAGACACTCTCAGCTTGCAGTCAAAAGAAGTGAGTTTGCAGAAGTTGGCCAAAGCCTTGATCCTCATGACTTGGAAAAGTTACTTTTTACAGGGTCAATATCCCTTTTAGGGGAGCATTCTGAACATCAGAAATAGGAGGAATATTAGGCCAGAGATGGATAGAATGACTTTTCCAACAATGTATCTACACAGAAGAATTAATGCAGTTTGACTCCACTTTAAGTGCTACACCTCGATGCTATGGAATCTGGGAGTTGTGGTTTTCCAAGGTTTTTAGCTTTCTCTGCCAGAGAGTGCTGGTGCCTAACTGCATTAATTCTATAATGTATGCCGCAAGTCCTCTGCTTTATTCCCTTGTCTACCTTTACCTCTTAGGCTGCTTCTACACTGCCATATAATCCAGATTATCAAATCAGACAATTCACATTATCCGCTTTGACCTGGATTATATGAGTCTACACTGTCATATAATCCAGTTCAAAGCAGACAATCTGGATTTTATATGGCAGTGCAGAAAGAGCCTTACACTAGAATTAATGCCATTTGACACCACCTTAATGCTATGGATTCCTGGGATTTGTAATTTGGAGAAGCACTTGCACTCTTTAGCAGAAAAGGGTAATAATAATAAACCTTGCAGAACTACAATTTCCAAGATTCCTTAGCACTGAGCCAAACTGCATCAATTCTACAATAGAGACATTGTATTTCACAACTGGGGAAAACCACAGTTATAGGTGGAAACGAAGGCATCTCCATTCCCTTTTAGTCCCTCTTACCTCCTCCATAATTCAAATTTTAGGCATTCAAGTTTCTTGGAGTAGGGAAAACACCAAAATACTGTTGTATCAGGTCCAATCTCTGTCTCTCCGTTCTCCTTTTTTAAACCAAACCACTAAATCAGAAGTTACCCAATTGGATCTAGGTGGGAAAAGATCTACTTTTAGGGAACCGGACCCCCAGATTGAGAAACACTGATTTAAATCCTTCTTCAGCCATGAAAACCCACAGGGTAACTTTTGAGTGGTCACAGGCTCTCCGTCCGACAAAATCCCGAGATAGAATCATAGAGTTGGAAGAGACCTCGTTGGGCATCCAGTCCAACCCACTGCCAAGAAGCAGAAAAATCACATACAAAGCAGAAAGCCTTGGGTGGCCCATTAAATCGTAAACAAAAAGTAAAGGTTTTAAGAAGTTAGCGTGGTTTGACTACAACTCTAGAGACCAGGGTTCGACTCAGCCGTGGAAACCTAGTGGGCGACTTTGGGCAAGTCTCACTCTTTCAGCTTCAGATGGAGATTAAGGCAAACCTCTCTGAGCAATGATAGGATCACCATAAGCTGGGAATGACTTGACTGCACAAGCACAGCAAAACAAAATTGAACTCGCAAGCTTTCCGTTTCAAAACCAAAAAATCCTATCCCTGAAAATCCCTAGACTTTTTTCCTTTCCAGCAGTACATCATTTGGGCAGGATGCTGTTATTTATATGCATCGGAAAGGGAGAAATCTTTGCTGAGCTACAACAAATCAGTTGTAGGCCAACTGGAAGAGTTGTAGTTGCTGGGATTGATAGTTCACCTATCAATCCCAACTGGAAGAGCCAGGTGCATCTGCCTCCGAACCCAGCAGTGAGGAGTCTTCGCAGGAAGAGAAAGGAGGTTGTGTCCATCCAGGATGGTCACTCTCCGGTGCACTTCTTGTCTCTCAGATGTGCAGACAAACACCGGACGTAAACATTGGATCAGACGTTTCCAGTCTAGCCTCCTGCGTCTTCTTCGCAGTGGCTGATCCAATGCTCCTGGAAAGCCCATAAGTGTGATGTGAGAGATGTAACTTTCCCAAGCTACTCACTGATGGTGAAATATAGAGGATACAGCTGAGATATCAGGAGATTGGATGGAGACTCTGCCTCTATTCCAAAAGTACCCCAATTGAGAAAGGCGATGGTCACAAACCTGGACAGTCTTTACCTTCCCCAATTCTATCGTTCCCCTTGTTCATTCCCCTATGATGTGGGTTTTCTTGTGGGCAACTAGGTAGAGGCCCCGGGTGAAGCTCTTCCCACAGTCAAAGCACTTGTAGGGCTTCTCCCCCCGGTGGGTGCGTTCGTGCGCCGTCAGGTTGGAGCTGCGCCGGAAGGCCTTGCCGCAGTCGGCGCAGGTGTAGGGCTTCTCCCCCGTGTGGGTCCGCTCATGGACAATGAAATCTGAGCTCCAGCGGAAGCTCTTCCCACAGTCGGCGCAGGTGTAGGGCTTCTCCCCTGTGTGGGTCCGCATGTGGGTAGTAAGGTTCGAGTTGCGATTGAAGCTCTTGCCGCAGTCGGCGCACTGGAAGGGCTTCTCTCCCGTGTGGATCTTCTTGTGGCGGATGAAGTGGGAGCGGTGGTCGAAGCTCTTCCGGCAGTCCTGGCACTTGTAGAGACGCTCCTCGGAGTGGATCCGCCGGCGGAGGACCACGCAACGCTTCGGGCGCTGCCCCTCCGGCGTCCGCCCTTGGAAGAGGATCTCGCCAAGGTTCGCGTAGTCCACGCGGCACGGGACAGGCTCTGGGGCTCTCTTCGAGGGGAGGATCCCCTGCAGACGCTCCGCCCGAGGCTGGTTTTCAGAGGACTTGCCTGACTCGCGGTGCTGGGAGAGATTCTCCCGTGGTTTGGGGAGCAACATCCTCCCAGGTGGGTCTCGTTCGAGATATTCCTGATGCCCCAAAACATGCCTCTCTGAGTCATTCAGCAGCCTGCTCCCTGCTGAAACAAGAGATTACCAGTATTATTATTGTTGTTGTTGTATTTATTTATTCATTTATTTATTTACACTATTTGTATAATGCTTTTTTCACCCCAGGGAAAACTCAAAGCAGTTTATTTATTTTTATTTATTTACTTTACTTGTATACCGCCGTTTCTCAGCCTAACCGGCGACTCAACGCTGTTTACAACAGGATAAAAACAGTCAACAATATACAATTCAAAACAAAAGAGCACAGTATACAATATTACACAACAGCAAGAACCCAATGCATCTCATAACTAGAGTCGTGATCCAAAATTCGTCGTCCATATTTCAATTCCTGTGATCGTTACATTCATTGCACTGATTAACCAAAGGCCTGTTCGAACATCCAAGTTTTTAATCTTCTACGGAACACCATTAGCGAGGGAGTTGATCTTACCTCCATGGGAAGGGCGTTCCACAGCCGGGGGGCCACCACAGAAAAGGCCCTGTCTCTCGTTCCCGCCAGCCGCACCTGTGAAGCAGGCGGGATAGAGAGCAGGGCCTCCCCAGAAGATCTCAGGGTCCTGGCGGGCTGATAGGCAGAGATACATTCGGATAGGTAGCTTGGGCCAGAACCGTTTAGGGCTTTAAAGGCCAACGCCAGTTTACAAAAAATAATGGCCAAATTCAATAAACCAAATCATAAATCTACTACTAACATGAGGGGGACATGAAGGAAGCCTCCTCGCAGGATTGCAAGACATCCGGGCGTCCCCTGGGCAACATCTTTGTAGACGGCTGATTCTCTCACTCCAGAAGCAACCAGAAGCAACTTGCAGCCAGTGAAGACATCCACCCTTGCGCTATGCTATTCTGCTGCTGAGTATGCATGCCTGGTGTGGAACACATCTCACCACGCTAAAACAGTAGGTGTGGCTCTTAATGAGACATACCGCATTATCACGGGTGTCTGCGCCCTACACAATAGTTTATTATAACAGAGCCGCTTAACTTGCTGACTGAAAGATTGGCAGATCGAATCTGGGGATCAGGGTGAGCTCCAGGTGTTAGCCCCAGCTCCTGCCAACCTAGCAGTTTGTAAACATGCAAATGTGAGTAGATCAATAGGTACTGCTTCATTGGGAAATAACGATACTCCATGCAGTCATGCCGGCCACATGACCTTGGAGGTGTCTACGGACAACGCCAGCTCTTTGGTTTAGAAATTGAGTTCAGCACCGCCCCTCAGAGTCAGACACGACTGGACTTCATGTCAAGGAGAAACCTTTACTTTTTATATTTTCTGGAGACCCCTGACTGATGTTGCTCTTCCCTGAACAGGAGTCAGTGCAAAAGGAGCAGACAAATCCACCGAGGCAATAAAAATACGACATAAGCTCTCCTTTACCTTGCTTCCGAGAAGCACCCAGGCAGACCTGCTGCACCCGCGGGAAATTCACCGCCATCTCTTCGAAGGAATCCAGAATCTGGAGCGGCACAAGAAGAGTGGCAGTGTCATTCAATATATGTATATATATATATATGAAAACTTCATCCCTCCTTCCAGGTGTTTTGGCTGTTAGACATTGTGGGAGTTGGAGTCCAAAACACCTGGAAGGCCCAAGTTTGCCCATGTCTGAACCATCCCTTCCAAGTTAAGCAAACTACAAAGCATCCTTACCAGCTGCCGCGGCCTCTCGGCCTCCTGCTGCCGGAGCAGAAAGCCCTCTGCCAGGGCCACCGCCTGGGCACAGGTCTCTGGGCCTCGTTCCCGGACGCAGCCCTGGATCTCTGGTGGCAAGACGGCCAGGAACTGCTCCAGGATCAGCAGCTCCAGGATCTGCTCCTTGGTGTGCCGCTCGGGCTTGAGCCACTGGTGGCAGAGCTCCCGGAGCCGGCTGCAGACCTCCCGGGGCCCCTCGACCTCCTGGTAGCAGAAATGCCGGAAGCGCTGGCGCTGAGTCTCCGGGCCGGTGGCCTCTTCTTCCAGGACCTCCTCTTTCACCTTCCAGGCAAGGGCCGGCGACTGAGCCGACTTGCCCGAGACGTGGAGCCCCTTTGGGCTACTGAAAGCCACCAACTCGGGGTTCCCCCAGCCGGTATGTGGGGACTGGACTACCTTCAGGAACTCCTGCCACTGGGCCTCCCAGCGCTGCGCCAAGCCTTCGTCCGGCTCCTGCTTAATCTGCTCCGGTGCCATCAACCTTAGGATCTCCTTGGCACCATCGGCCTGAACACCCCGCGGGACCTTCCTTGCCCCTTCGGAGGGTTTGGCACACATGGAGCTCTTCTCCTCCATTTTCAACCTCGGCTCCCGGGCGGCTTGGAAGTGGAGACGAAGGCCCGGCGGCGAACAGCCCTCTTTGAAAAGCGCTTTCTTGGAGGCCATAGAGTGGCCTTATCCCATCTCAGGCCTGGATCCAAGTTTCTCCTTGGCCGGATGGTTGTCACTCCAGAAGACTAAGTTCTGTTCGGCTTCCGAGTTGCAGGTGGATTTCTAGTTGTGTTCAACACAAGTGTGGCGGAGTGTAAATCTGGAAAGTTACAATTTTTTACCAGTGCCAGAAGTAAGTACGTGTTCACCAAAGAGCTTCTCCGACAAACACGAAGATCTGTCCACTATGAAAAGAAAGAAAAGACAAAGAGAGGGAGAACAGAGGGAGAAAAGGAAATATTTATTTACTACATAGATACAAATAAAACAATTATAAATATATTGTCGAAGGCTTTCATGGCCAGAATCACTGGGTTGTTGTAGGTTTTTTCAGGCTATATGGTCATGGTCTAGAGGCATTCTCTCCTGACGTTTCGCCTGCATACCTATGGCAAGCATCCTCAGAGGTAGTGAGGTCTGTTGGAAATAGGAAAAAGGGTTTATATATCTGTGGAAGGACCAGGGTGGGACAAAGGACTCTTGTCTGCTGGAGCTAGGTGTGAATGTTCCTAGTTCCAACAGACCTCACTACCTCTGAGGATGCTTGCCATAGATGCAGGCAAAACGTCAGGAGAGAATGCCTCTAGACCATGGCCATATAGCCCGAAAAAAACTACAACAACCCAATTATAAATATACATTAAAATCAGCTTGCCAGATTAAAATCACCAGAATTAAATCGTCATCCAAAGCAGTCCAAGTCCGGTCCAATAAATCTTGTCTTTCCCAGTAAACAAACTATTCTGTGAACGCCTGATCCCATAACCAGGATTTAAGTTTTTTTCCGGAAGATCAGGAGGGAGGGAGCGGATCTAACTTCATTGGGGAGGGAGTTCCACAACCATGGGGCCACCACAGAGAAGGCCCTGTCTCTCATTCCCACCAAACGCAACTGCGATGGCGGTGGGACCGAGCGCAGGGCCTTTCCGGATGATCTTAAGGTCCTAGATGGTTTATAGGGGGAGATATGTTCATACAGGTAAACTGGGCCGGAAGAAGGAGGGAAGGGAGGGATGGAGGGAAGAAGGATTGGAAAGAAAGGGAGGGAGGGAGGTAGTGGAAGAAGGGAGGACTAGAAGATAGACAACAACATGGAAGAAAAAGAAATAAAATTAAAGAACTACATTCTGGCTTCCTCTCAAATTAACAAAACAGGTAAACAACAGTAAGGAAAGGCAGTACTGTGTAGCGATCAGAGCAACAATGGGAACTGCATGCCCTTTGAAAATGTGTTGGCCTCCACTTCCCAGCAGAGCAGAGACAGCACAGCCAAAGTTGAGAAAATGCTAGGAGCCAATAACATCTGGAATACAGCATGACTCTCGCTGCAGTTCATTTTATTTATCGTGTCAGGAACGAACCAAAACAGTTGTATTGCATTAAAACAAACAAACAAAACACAAAGTTTGCAGACTTGGTATTCTATTAAATGTCCTTTGACCAGTAGCTGGCCACTCTGGTGTTGCTGCAAGGAGGTTGCATTGCAGTAGGTGGTCTGTGGGTTGCTCTTCTCCACATTCGCATGTCATGGATTCCACTTTGTAGCCCCATTTCAGATTGTAGCCCCATTAAGATTGGCTCTGCACCTCGTCCTGCCAGAGCGCAGTCTGTTCAGTGCCTTCCAAGTCGCCCAGTTTTCTGTGTGCCCAGGGGGAACTCTCTCATTTGATATCAGCCATTGATTGAGGTTCTGGGTTTGAGCCTGCCACTTTTGGACTCTCACTTGCTGAGGTGTTCCAGCGAGTGTCTCTGAAGATCTTAGAAAACTATTTCTTGATTTAAGCCGTTGGCATGCTGGCTGATACCCGAGGATGGGCCGGAGGATGTCACTGCCTTGGTCCTTTCACCAAGGCCATTCAATGCTAATCAAGGTGGCCAATTGCAACATTCTTAATTGTTTCAAACATACAAGGGTTCGTTCTCCCACTCTGGACATTCCACAGATATATAAACACAATTTTCCAAGCTTCCAACAGACTTCACAACCTCTAAGTATGCCTGCCATAGATGCAGGCAAAACGTCAGGAGAGAATGCTTCTGGAATATGGCCATAGAGACTGGAAATTTTACAACAACCCAACAACAACAACAACATTTTTATTTCTTACCCACTTCTTCTCGTGGCTCAAGGGAGGTTACAACATAATCAAAACACATAATCATTGTAAAAATACCACAAATACACATATTAAAACGTACTTCTATAAAAGATATAAATTATGTCTCAAATAGTAATAATCATTACTATTATTTTCTCCTCTGCACAAATCTAGACACGAAAATCCAGGGATAGGGTCACCATAAACCTGGATGAATATAGCTGTTCAGATTTGGGACCCACCCCCATTATGGTTATCTATGCAACAAATACAGGGATTCCAAAATCAGGAGAAAAATAGTATCCAAAATCCTAAACACTCCTTCCACTTCCAAGCATTTTATACAAGGGAGGCTCTATTACAGTGTTTCTCAACCTTCCAAATACCGCAACCCCTTAATACAGTTCCTCCAGTTGTGGTGAAGCCCAACTATAACATTATTTCTGTTGCTACTTTCTAACCGCAATTTTGCTACTGTTATGAATCGTCATGTAAACATCTGAAATGCAGGATGTATTTTCATTCATTGGACTAAATTTGGCACAAATACCCAATACACCCAAATCTGAATACTAGTGAGGTTGGAAGGGGGATTGATTTTGTCATTTGGGAGTTGTAGTTGCTGGGATTTATAGTTCACCTACGATCAAAGAGTATTCTGAACCCCACCAATTGAACCAAACTTGGCACACAGAACTCCCATGACCAACAGAAAATACTGGAAGGGTTTGGTGGGCATTGACCTTTGAGTTTTGGAGTTGTAGTTCACCTACATCTAAAAAGCACTGTGGACACGATGATGGATCTGGACCAAACTTGACAGAAAGACTCAATATGCCCAAAGGTGGATGCTGGTGGAATTTGGGGGGGAATAACCCTTGACATTTGGGAGTTGTCGTTGATGGGATATATAGTTCATCTACAATAAAAAGCATTCTGAACTCCGCCAACAATGAAATTTAACCAAACTTGGCACTCATAACTCCCATGACCATCAGAAAATACTGGAAGGGTTTGGTGGACATTGACCATGACTTTGGGAGTTGTAGTTCACCTACAACCTGAGAGCACCGTGGACTCAAACAATTATGGATCAGAACCAAATTTGGCACAAATACTTAATGTGTCCAAATGTGAACACTGGTGGAGTTTGTAGACATTTGGGAGTTGTACTTGCTGGAATTTATAGTTCACCTACAATTGAAGAGCATTCTGAACCCCAGCAACAATAGAATTGGGCCAAACTTCCCACACAAAACCCCCATGACAAACAGAAAATACTGTATTTTCTGATGGTCTTTGGTGACCCCTCTGACACCCCTTGTTCCCCCCCAAGGGTCCCGCCCCCCGGGGTCTCGTGGTCTGACCATTGGGCCATGACTCCAGGACCAGATTTCGAATCCCTGCTCTGCTGTGGAAAAGCAAAGGGTGATATTGAGCAATTCACACTCTCTCAGCTTCAGAGGGAAGCAAAGGCAACCCATCCCTTACACACATAAAAACAGGAAAGCAGTATAGATCCAGTCTTAGGATCCTTCCAGACAAGCCTTATATCCCAAGATCTGATCCCAGGTTTTTCTGCTTTGACCTGGATTATATGAGTCCGCACTGCGGGATAATCTGGGATAAACAGAAAACCTGGAATCAGATCCTGGGATATAGGGCCTGCCTGGAAGGGCCCTTCCACACACCCCAAAATATCAAGGCAGAAAATCCCACAATATCTGCTTCGAACTGGGTTATCGGAGTCCACACTCAGATAATGTGGGATTTCCTGCCTTGATATCAAGGCTGTGTGGAAGGGCCCTAGATTATTATTGACACCATTTGAACTGCAAGTGGTTCAATACTATGGAGTCCCTGGCACAGTGGGTTAAACTTGTTGTTAAACTTCTTGACTGAAAGATTGCAGGTTCAAATCTGAGGAGCAGGATGAGCTCCCACTGTCAGCCCCAGCTTCTGCCAACCTAGCAGTTCGAAATCATGCAAATGTACATAGATCAATAGGGATCACTCCGGCAGGAACGTAATGGCTCTTTAGGCAGTCATGCAGGCCACATGACCTTGGAGGTGTCTACGGACAACACCGGCTCTTCAGCTTAGAAATGGAGATGAGCACCAATCTCCAGAGTCGGATATGACTGGACTTAATGTCAGGGGAAAAACTTTACCTTTACCAGTACTACGGAATTCTGGGATTTGTAGTTTGGGACTCTTTGGCTGAGAAGACCTTGCAGGATTTCCTAGCATTGAGTGTCAAACTGCATTCATTCTGCAGTGTAGATGCAACCCTTGGGAGCCTTTCTCCCTTCTCTCCATCATTGGCATTGCATGCAATATATATATTTAGAAAAACATCATGATAAATACTATTTTTGCATTATTATTATTCTTTAGTATTAGGTTGGGAATTATTCTTTTCTACTCACTTCAATATGGGTCTCCTGCACCTTTGGCTGCAGCTGCACCACCAAAAGGGAGGCCTTTGGAGATGAAAAGGGAAAGAATGGAAGAAAGAAGGAAGGAAAGAAGGAGCCCACTTTCTGCAAAAAGGGAGAGAAGGAATGGTGACTGAAGGCGGAAGAGGAAAGGAAGCAAGGAAGGAAGGAAAGGGGGGGGGGACTTTGCTCCCTTGGCAGGCTCCCCCCTGCTTTCTCCCTTCCTCCCCCCAAAAGGCCTCTCTACACATCTCTGGCATCTCTATAGGCTTAACCCTTTGAGAGCCCCACATTCTCCCCAGATACATATCCCCCCTTCCTTCTTTTTGCAGGAAAGGGGTGCTTTTGCCCTTCAAGCCATGCCGGACTGCAACACCCATCATCCCCAGGCAACCCACTAAAATCATGGGATTTGCAACCTTCATGCAACACTATGCTGCAATTCCACTGAGCTTCCTAAATTGGGTATAGATTATAGGAGCCTTTGTGCATTATTGGATTGCAACTCCTATCATCCCCAAACAAGCTAGAAATATGATGGGATTTGCAACCTTCATGCAACACTATGCTGCAATTCCACTGAGCTTTCTAAATTGGGTGTAGATTATAGGAGCCTTTGTGCATTATTGGACTACAACTCCCATCATCCCCAAGCAACACAGAACTATGATGGGAATTGCAACCTTCATGCACTACTGTGCTGCAACTCCACTGAGTCTTCTAATAGGAGCCTTCGTGCATTATTGGATTGCAACTCCCATCATCCCCAGAGAAGCTAGAAATATTATGGGAGTTACAACCTTAATGCACCACTGTGCTGCAGCACCAATGAGCTTTCTGAATTGGCTGGAGGTGAAAGGAGCCATCGTGCATTACTGGACTGCAACTCCCATAATCCCCAGACAACGCGCTAAAATCATGGGAGTTGCAACCTTCATCACCGTTATGCTGCAATTCCACTTAACCTTCTAGTTTGGCTGGGGATTATAGGAGCCTCCGTGCATTATTGGATTGCAACTCCCATCATCCCCTGACAACTCACTAAAATCATGGGAATTGCAACCTTCATGCAACACTGTGCTGCAATTCCCTCGAGCTTTCTAGGTTGGGTGCAGATTATAGGATCCTCCATGCGTTATTGGATTGCAACTCCCATCATCCCCAAGTAACACAGAAAGATGATGGGAGTTGCAACCTTCGTGCACTACTGTGCTGCAATTTCACCGAGCCTTCTAGGTTGGGTGCAGGTTATAGGGGCCTTCATGCTTTATTGGATTGGAACTCCCATCATCCCCAGACAAGCTAGAAATATGATGGGAGTTGCAACCTTCATGTAACACAATGCTGCAATTCTACTGAGCCTTCTAGGTTGAGTGCAGATTATAGGCGCCTTTGTGCATTATTGGATTGCAAGTCCCACCATCCCTAGACAAGCTAGAAATAGATGGGAGTTGCAATCTTTATGCACCACTGTGCTGCAGCACCAATGAGCCTTCTGGCTTGGCTGGAGATGATAGGAGCCTTTATGCGTTACTGGATTGCAATTCCCATCATCCCTATTGGTAGGCTGGGGATAATTAATGTTGCAGTCTGGCCAGATTGGAGAATCTGTTTGGAGATTTTGCAAAACAGGTTGAAATTTAATGAGTGCAACAGTGGCCTTCATTCCTTGTCGGACTGCAACTCCCATCATCCCTCTGTTAGGGTGATAAGTGCCTTAATGTATCACCTGACTGCAATTCCCATCATCCCTCTGTGTGACCTAGGGGTGATAATGAGAGCCCTTGTGCATCACTCCACTGCAACTCTCATGAGCCTTCTGGGTTGTCTGGGGATGCTGGGAGTTGCAAGCAACCCAATCATGGGTCTGTTTAGGCATTTTTGCAAAGCACATTGACACTCTATGGGGACAGAGGTTTCTTTCATGCCTCGCAGAACTGCAACTCCCATCATCCCACCTGAGTTACTGGGGATGGTGGGAGCTGCAGTTTTACCAATGGAAGAATCTGATTAGTTTTTTTCCTCCCCAAATCAAGCTGAAATTCAACAGGGGCAACTTGGTGGTAGACTGCAACTCCCATCATCCCCCTGGGTTGGGTGAAGGGTGATGAGAATTGCAATTTGGCCAGGTAGAAGACTCTACGTAGAGCTTATAAGAGTATTGTTGGACTGCACTCCCATCACCCCTCTGGGTTGGGTAAGGGAAGATGGGAGTTGCAATTAACTGTATTGCCTTCGACAATACAGTTGCAATTAAATTAAAATATTATAATAATAATGAAAATAAAAATAATAAAATAAGAAATAAATAACGGGAAAGTCTGTTCTCTTTAAGCAGAACTCGAACTCTTTAACACCTCCAACTATTGTGTGACATTGCAGCTCTCACCACCCCTAGGCTGCAAAGTCAATGGCTAAGCATGGTGGGAGTTGCAGTGCAATTGAACTAGGGTGAGCCATGTGAAACCCAGACTTTACCCTCTCAATAACCTGCAGTTACCACCTAGGTAAATGTGAATGAATGAATTAATGAATGTTATGACCTCAGGGCAATGTAATTATTTAATTAGCAAAAGAAAACTTAAGGTGAAAGAAAGGGAACAAACTAAATGCAGAGGGGGGATAAGAATTGATTCCTTGATGACTGCCTTCCTAATTTGCATTAATTTTAGAGCCAAATAAATAAGACTAGAAAACCTATGCAAGCCAATGGGATTCTCAGCTATGTCAACAGTAGAGTGTTGAGAATGGGAAAAGTAATTGTCCCATTGTATCCTGCAAAGACATCTGCTATAGAATTCCAATATGCTGATGATAAGGTAATCTGTGCCCATTCGGAATAATAAATAATAATAAATTTTATTTGTATCCACGCCCCATCTTCCCAAAGGGACTCATAGCATCTTTACTATAATAAGACCTATTTATTTTTGTATTTATTAGGATAATTTCTATCCCGTCCTTTCTCGCCTCTGAAGAGGGACTCAGGACAGCTACTAACAGGCACCATGCGTTGCCAAACAATAAAACAAGCATAATATACAAGCTACATTAAAAACAATTATAGATACATTAAAACAGTTCGATTTACAAGCCAATGAATTGGTTGAGACTCTAGGACAGCATTCATCAAGCTGGCAGTCGGGACTCCTAGGGGGGGTCACGAGGGGGGTTTCAGAGGGGTCACCAAAGACCATAATAAAACACATATTTCTGATGGTCTTAGGAACCCCTTTGGCAAAGAAAGCTGAAGATCTCTCCAGTGGTCCATCTCTTCCTTTTTGGTGTTGGTGAATTACAACTCCCAGAATTCAAAAACAGGCCCCCAACCTCACCAGTATTCAATGTTGGCCATGTAGGTAGTGTGCCAAGTTTGGTGCAGATCCATTGTGGGCTGGGTTCAGAGCGCTCTTTGATTGTAGGTGAACTATAAATCCCAGCAACTACAACTCCCAAATGTCAAGGTGTATTTTCCTCAAACTCCACCAGTGTTCACATTCGGGCATATTGAGTATTTTGCCAAGTTAGGTCCAAACCCAACATTGTTTGAGTCCACAGTGCTGTATGGATGTAGGGGAACTATAACTCCCAAGCTCAAGGTCAATGCCCACCAACCCCTTTCAGTATTTTCTATTGGCCATGTAGGTAGTGTGCCAAGTTTGATGCAGATTCATTGTGGGCTGGTTTCTGAATGTTCTATGATTGTGGGTGAACTATAAATCTCAGCAACTACAACTCCCAAAGGTTAAGGTTTATTTTCCCCAAACTCCACCAGTGTTCACCTTTGGGCATGCCGAGTATTTGTGCCAAATTTGGTCTAGATCCATCATTGTTTGAGTGCACAGCGCTCTCTGGATGTAGGTGAACTACAACTCCCAAACTCAAGGTCAATACCCATCAAAACCCTTTTAATATTTTCTGTTAGTCATGGGAGTTCTATGTGCCAAGTTTTGTTCAATTTCGTCATTGGTGGAGTTCAGAACATTCTTTGATTGTAGGTGAACTATAAATCCCAGCAACTACAACTCCCAAATGTCAAAGTCTATGTTCCTCAGACTTCACCAGTGTTCACATTTGGGAATATTGAGTATTTGTGCCAAGTTAGGTCCAGATCCAACATTGTTTGAGTCCACAGTGCTGTATGGATGTAGGTGAACTATAGCTCCCAAACTCAAGGCCAATGCCCACCAACCCCTTCCAGAATTTTCTGTTGGCCATGTAGGTAGTGTGCCAAGTTTCATGCAGATTCATTGTAGGCTGGGTTCAGAGTGTTCTATGATTGTAGGTGAACTACAAATCCCAGCAACTACAACTCCCAAAGGTCAAGGTTTATTTTCCCCAAACTCCACCAATGTTCAACTTTGGGCATGCCGAGTATTTGTGCCAAATTTGGTCCAGATCCATCATTGTTTGAGTGCACAGCGCTCTCTGGATGTAGGTGAACTACAACTCCCAAACTCAAGGTCAATGCCCATCAAAACCCTTTCAGTATTTTCTGTATGGTCATGGGAGTTATGTTCACATTTGGGCATATTGAGTATTTGTGCCAAGTTAGGTCCAGATCCAACATTGTTTGAGTCCACAGTGCTGTATGTATGTAGGGGAACTATAACTCCCAAACTCAAGGTCAATGCCTACCAAGCCCTTTCAGAATTTTCTGTTGGCCATGTAGGTAGTGTGCCAAGTTTGGTGCTGACCTATTGTGGGCTGGGTTCAGAGAGCTCTTTGATTGTAGGTGAACTACAAATCCCAGCAACTACAACTCCCAAATGTCAAGGTCTATTTCCCCCCAACTCCAGCAGTGTTGACATTTGGGCATATTGAGTGTCTTGGAGGCTGTGCTTTCCCTTTTGACTCTTCCAGCCTTATCAGCCTATCAGGCCCATTTCCCAAACCCTAAATACCCCCATTTGGATGGCCATTCCCTCCTGATCACTTTTCAATGGCTTTGCAAAGGTCCAGCTGGAAGGAAGAAGGCAGATCTTAATTCCTTCTACTTCTTGGAAGGACAAATCCTGCAAAGGAACCTCCCAGTTGGCTCCCAGGCCTTGGAAAAGAGGAGGGTCAGCCTGCAAAATTGCAAACCCCTCCCTTTCTAAAAAAAAATAATAAATCTGTTATCCTGGGTTACTTATTCCCTTTGCAAGCTGCAACTTGGGAGTCTTCGCCTTGCAGGTGAGTTGCAAATGAGGCATGATTGTGGGAACACCAAGACACGTGTATGCTGCAAAGGTGGGCCCT